GTCTTCTTGCTTGCAATCGTTTAGCAGACTTGATAAGTGTACTTACTTTAAGTTTTAATCTCTGAAAAAGTAATTCTGTAATGTATTGAGGAAATTGACTTTGTGTGTGTGTATGTGTGCACGTGTGTGCGTGTGCACACACCTCTGCTGCCTTAGTTACTTGACTGCCATATTTAAACCACTTGCCATGTTTGTAATATAGATGTATATGTATGTGTAGGTGTGTGTTCTCCCTTGGGTGCCTCAACCATTTAAACCAGTTTAGACAACAGCTGTCTCGCTAATCAGAACAATAAACATCTTTTTGATCCACTAGCCACTTCTCCAGCTTCTCTCACTGTTTAACAAACCACCTATGGGTTTTGAACAGAAAAGATGGCGGGTTACCTGCCAACGTAGCTGGTAGACAAATTGTACCAGCTGTACCAGCTACAGCTGGCCAGCATTTGGCTGCTGGCTGCTGGTAGTTTAGCCCTCTTGCATAGAGCAATATGAAGAAAAGTGGAACCCCTCTGATCTGCCTGATTACAATGATTTTATCACCATCACTTCATGAGCTGTATTTAATGATGAAGATGTTCTGCTGCTTTTACAGCGCAGAGGATCCCACAGGGACACATTTTCTATCAGAGAGAATGTATTATGGTAGATGAGGGAAGCCCCCAGAGGAGACTGTAAAATCCTAAGAGACATGACCCTGCCACACTCCCATCGGTTCTAAATCAAGGTTACTCCTGTGGTCCTGTACATGAGTGTAAATACACTGAGATACTGTGGGAACTGGGTCAGTTTGTGTGTATGTATACGATGGGGCAGCCTTCCAGGGGGATCCTTGTATATTGGGTCAGGTGTGTGACCCTATGTTAAATTTCTTTCCTCAATTTATTCATGTCTTTCTTTTCTTTTCTGACTGTCTTTCCATCCTCCTCTGTGATCTCTCACTCTGTCCATGGGGAAAGAATGCAGACTTAGAAGCTACACTCACTCCTGTATTGAAATGATATGGGAGTAAAGTAGATTGAGGTGTAGCAGACATAAATAGAGAATTTCTAAACATCTCCTTCACACCCGTACCTTGCATCTTATAGCTCAGGATAATCCTCTGACATAGATAGGTGGCACTGAGCCCCTGCGCTCTTTGCAGCCATGTAACAGCTACACTCTGCAGGTTTGAAGGGAATTAGCTTAAGTGCTGTTTATATTCACTTTAATAGATATAATGCAACTGCACACTGCTTTTGGTTAATGTGCTGATTAAATCTTTTTTCTCTGGATGAAAGTGTGTAAAGGGGGGCACAGAGAAGACTTTTAAAACACATTCGCACACATTCAAGGACTGACCCCCACAGATTTGTCATCATCTTTGTTCGGATTTCCATCATTAACCACCTCATTGTGTTCAAATTGGACAAAACTAATTTGTGATGTCCGGGAGGACTCTGAAGGGAACCTTTAGACCATGGTGGCAGTTTCTGAAACCAGAATATCGAATTTGTGCAAAGTCAAAGTTGACTGGCTGGAGCTGAGGAGGAGTAATAGGCCACCACCACAGCTGACCGTGTCAGACTAATACTTTCTTTTAAAGTATTAAGAAAGCATACGTCATGAGTCACGAGTGCCTTACAACAACATTAACATACAAGAACAAAAGACAGAAGAGCCTCACGAAGAAGAAGTGAACTAAAAATCACAGCAGGTAATAAAAATGCATAATAATTACACATCAAACATGTATAAATACACATAATAAAATACACGAAAAGGTAAACAGTATGTGGTAGAAGTACACAATAAATGCATAGCACTTAATGCAATACTCAAAAAATACATACAATGCAGACCTGGTTCATACCTGTCTAAACAGGTGTGTCTTTTGAATACATCCACAGAATCAGCAGACCATAATGGTGCGGGCAGAGCATTCCCAAGCCCCAGCCTCAAAAGCCTGATCACCACAGTTCCTCAGACGAGTGTGTGGGACAGACAGCAAATTTAGCTTATTGACCTTCTGTGCAGGACTCGGACCATGCAGTGCTCTGCAAGTAATAGTGAGAATCTTGAACTGGATCCTATATAATGAGACAGGGAGCCAGTGAAAAGATCTGAGTATAGGGGTGACGTTAGTGATGTCTGTTTGTTTTGGTGAGTAGCACACGGCAGCATCTGCAGACGATCAAGGGCAGACTTGCTAAGTGAGTCTATGTGAGCTGAAATAAATGGATCTCTAGTTCAGCTGGGACCAGAGGTGAAAATGAAAATGGGGCACCACTTCCATGGCACTAACGCAGGATTGGGGGAAGTCAATAGGCTGTCCTGAGGGGCAATCTAGCCAACTTTAAGGGGGACCTGGGGGCAATCAAGTACCCCTCTAGTGAGTCACATGCAAAATGTAGCATGGGAGTGTCGTTTTGTGGGCACAGAAATGTCCTGGTGACGCGAAAATATGATCAGATTCATGGTGGGATTGGGATAGTATATCTACGGGGCCTGGTAGTAGTGATGAAAATTCTGGGAGGAAAGAATAGGTGCGGATTGGTAATAACAGTACAGACCTTTAGTCCAAGGAAGACCCTCAGACCAGTGCTGTTCCAGAGGAATTAGGACTAATATATGTGGATGGAATTAATCTTGTTTGTTTGTTTGTTTGTTTGTTTGTTTGTTTAAGGATTCCAAAAGCAACTAGTAGGACTGAGTATGTTTTCTTGGTAAAAATGTCGATACTAGTACCAATACCAAGTAAATACTTTTTGGGAATAATAAACAAGTTTTACATTTTCATTCAGCAAAATACACCAAACTGATGAATGGATGAGTGATGAAGTACTTTCTCAAATTAAATGGTTATATTAGATCAAATAATAAGTAAACAATTGCATTAGATGCAAACTCAATGTCATGGACACATTGTTGGTCAGTACTCAAGAGGTTCATTCCCAAACGCTGTAAATAAGTAACTTTTAAAAATTTAAATGTGATACAGAAAGCCACTTTTTGAACCAGGAATAATCAACTTTGAATTAATTGCAATGTTCTCTCTATTTCGTAATCGCTAGTCCTGGTTTATTTTACACCCTGCCTGGGAAACTGGCCCAGTATGTGCCAACTCTCAACTGATGACCTCATTTGCACAGACTAGAATTGGGCATTAAACCTGTTGTGCTTTCCAGGAAGCATGAAGGTTTCTCACAGCAGTCGTGTGTGTGTATGTGTGTGTGAACCTGCTGGTCTAAACATGCCTTGAGTTGTGTGTGTGTGTCACCAGTGTAGATGGAAGGAAAGGGAGGGAGTGTTTACATTAAGCAACATTTATGGTGATGATTGACTTTTAGCCGTGAGTTAGCTTTCAGCAGAACAGGATGGGTGAGGGCAGACGACCGGTAAGGATTTGACGTGTGTGTGTGTGTGTGTGTGTGTGAGTGTGAGAGAGAGAGAGTGCGTGTTGGCATGCAGCTCTATTTCCCACCATCTCTCTCCTTGCTTGTGTAATTTATGAATGTAAAGCTTGCTCATTTACAGCCAGTGCAATTTATGACCAAGTAAATCATAGAATGTGACAAGACAGTTGAAGCTTTCCAATTATATGAAAGATTTCCTTGGAACCTTGTTTGTGTGAACCTGACAGATTACAACCTCCCACAGTTTGTATCTGCTCTCCCCCTCACATTTGAGCTCTCTCTTATTCCCCCTATTCATACCAACACACACACCCTCCCTGTACTATTTATTTGTTCATAGAAATCCTTCACACTCTCTGTCAGTTGCTGTGATGAAGGGCGTTTTGTGTAGCTTTCCATTTATACATCTACAAGACGGTTGTATACGTGTTAATGTGAGTGTGGACCAGTATATTTCTTTTACACATCCTGTTGATATGCTGAGTTTATCTTCAATGGCTTGAATATAGTATTCTGTTTTATTTTTAATGCTTTTCCATAAAGCACATCTGACTATCCTCTCTTTAAGTTCTGTTGCTGTTGATTCTTTTCTGCTATTTTAAGTCTATACTCACATTTTTGTTCAGTCTTTACTACACCTCTCCACGGAGTAGTCTGTTGCATATATAACCTTTGTTGGCAGTTATATGTCCTGTTTTTTATTTGATATTCGTGTCCAAAACTGCTCTAACAACAGCCCGTTTCCCCACAGGGGCCGTTGCCGTTTTTTCATCACATCTTAGATATAGTAAATGGGAAATGGCTGCCTTTCTCTGTTACGATTCAAATAATTTGCACATGCATGCACACACACACAAGGACACACTCACAAACACTGCTTACTTGGTCTATTCTTGTGTTCCCCTCCACTGCTGCTGCAGCCTCACACATGCACCAGTCCTTCTACTGCTGCCGTCTGCTGACACCTAGAGACCAAACGTGGATCTGCAGGTTAATTTGGAGCGTATACCTACAGGGAAACCTCCCACATAACACATACTTCAGGATCATTAACATCATATGTAATGATTTAGCATCAGATTAGAGAAAAAAAAACTTTGCCTGTCTTTCTTGAATTTATTCTGTCAGACACAGGGTTGGCTCATTGCAGCAGTATGCAGCCAGGCCAAGTCCAGACAGTCCAATTCAATGTGTGTGTTTTGATGTGCTCAAATTTTAGTTAAGCTGGCTGTGGTTTCATAACAACATGGCTATTGTGCCTAAGAGCATTCATTATATAATGACATGTCTTATGTAATGACAACGGGGGGAGGGGGTCAAGGCCCCACACTAATTTACTCCTTTTTACAAATTCTGCCTGTCTTTATTTTAAAATGTTCTCCACGTTTTTACCTTCCTACCTCCCTTACCTCTTCTACCATGTCAAGTAATGACTTAGGGATCTGGTCTAGAATAAACTGGTCAAGGACATGTCATATTGTGGAATTTCAGAAGAGACAATAGATACATTTGAAATGTTGTGAATTTTGCATTAACATGTTTTCTCCTTCCCTTTCTTTTCTTTTTCTTTCTCCTCCTCTTCTCTCCTCTCCTCTCCTCCTCCAGGCAGCTTCAGGAGCTGCAGAGACAGAAGGAGATGGAGCGTGAGCATCAAGAGCGGGAGCGTCAGGAGCGGGAGCGCCTGGAGCGAGAGATGCTGGAGCGTGAACGCCAGGAACAGGAGCGTCAGGAGAGGGAGGCGCAGGCGGAGCGGGAGCGACTGAGCGACTGGAGCGGGAGCGCCAGGAGCAGCAGGAGCGCGCTGAGCGTGAGCTGATGGAGAGGGAGAAGGCAGAGAGAGAGCGGCTTGAGAGGGAGCAGCAGGAGCAGTTGGACAGAGAGCAGCAGGACTGGGAGAGAGGGAGACGCATCTCCAACGCCGGTGAGTGATGCACTTTGGTTTCCTGCTTGCTGTATACACACAAATGATGTACATAGCTTTGCTTATTTTTAATATCTTACAAATTGAAAATGTTCTTGCTACTTTGAACAGTAGATCAATACAGGTTGTCTTCAGAAGAGCATTGCTGGCATGGGGTCATATAAGAATAGTAGCCTCACTGAAAAGTTTTGAACAGAGATAATCTTTTGTGTTCCACTGTGTGAAGTTGACTGAGTTGAATTTGAATCCTTGTTCACTAAATCTTTCTATTAGCTAGCATAGCTCCTCTGCAGCTGAATGAGAATCTCATACTCATTCTAGTTAAAACGCTGAAGTTGCAGATGAACATGCTTCCAATAAAGGCAGCTCTTCTCTAAAAGTCCAAAAATGGCACTGGATGCAGGACTTGAAGCACTGGAGAGCGGCCCCTACACTATTCCCACACACACAACTTCGGTCACTACACACACATCTAAAGACATGCTGCCTTAGAATGCGAGGTTTCCTGCAAATCCTTCCTAAAGTATCCCCAGTTTATTAATTTTGATAATTATCCCTGTCAGTGAACCTAAAATATCTGAAGCCTGGAGCGTAAAAAGCTCATTTAGAATTAGGGCTACACAATATTCATTTTCACTGAAAAAAAGCTGGATCTGTCTATAGCCTATATGTCTATAGCACAAGATTTGTAGGCTGGGTATCTCTGTAGCACTACAGTACTTAGTACTTATCATAATGCTGTTTTGTCATACATTTTACCTTCATCAAAATTATTGCAGCTTCTGTGATTTGGATATTGCACTTTCGAAAATACTTAAATTAATTGTGCAGCCCTATTTTGAATACATTTAATGTACACTCACTCAAAGCTCAATCTCAGTCAAATTTTTAAAAATGGGCAAAAATATTTGTATTTCATTATCATTCACACTTAAATCCAGCAGCAGAGACATGGTGGGGCCACAGGTGGAACACACTCTGATTATAACTGGAGTTTGAATGGATCAGGGTTTGTTTGAAGGGAAATCTGCTACACTTAAGGACTGGGTCAGTAGGGAAAGCAGCGTTGTGTGGCACGCTTCAGTGCCACGCTCGGCCTATTAACATATGCATGCATAAACACACACACACACACACTTAGGCAGTCTCAGTTGTGTTACTCAAAGGCTAAAAATACATCATCAGGGAGAATGCTGGCTAAACCCCCAGGGCTGAATGTGTGTGTTTGCGTGTACGTGCATGCATGTTAATGCCCCAGAATGAGAAGGAGGAGTTATTTCACATGCCATACACAATAAACACATTGGATCATACTGGAAAGCAGGAGTGTGTATGTGCACACGCACACACACACACACACACACACATTCAGTATGTTGGGTTTGTTGTGATTTTAACATTTAACGCCTTCTAGTCCTGTTCCTGTGTTTGTGCTTTGTGTGTATGTATCTATTAAACTTGCAGTGATTACTATCACTCGCTTTATACAGTCAAAGAAGTGTTTGCTTCTAACGTCTGATCATTTTAATTGCCTCGGTAACAGTTTATTTTTGGCCCATAATGGTGAGAAATGATGTCTGCCATATCCTGTGTTACACACACACTCACCACTTCTGCACAGCAGCGTGTATCTAAAACTTCACTTTATTTTTCAGAATGTTTAAATGTATATTCTGTAAGTGTTTTCGGAGTATATGTTGTGGATATTAATTGGCAACATAAAGGTGTATATTTTGTTAAGGTGGTCGGGTGGATCTGCTTGACAACCAGACTTTTTTTTTTTTTTTTTGCCATTAATACTTTTTGTATGTTTAAGTTGTGCAGTTAATTTGGTACAGAGGAGCTTGGCTTCAGTATGGCTTTGTCGTCTTCTCGTGTGTGCATGTGCGCTTAATATTCTTGTGTGAACGTGTCTAGCTCTGCGTGTAATCATTGTGCTCTGGTCATGTGTTGATTATTATGGAATGGCAGAGCAAAGCTGGGGCCTCTCAGTCATGTGACCCGCCCAGAGCTACAGAGAGAGAGATTTTGGCAATATTGTTGTTCATTCATGCCAATAAAGCGAATTTGAATTGAGAGAGAGAATGAAAGAAGAGGGGACGGTAGAATGATGCTGAAAGATGGAAACGGTCGATGTTAAGCTAAAGCAGAAGAGGATTAGGGAAAAAGGGAAGGAGATAGTGTAGTGCCGTGGTGTAGAGCAGTGGGTTGCCTGAAGGTGAAAAGGTTGTTTGAAGCCAGAAGTAAAGCTGAAGGTGAGAAAGCGTGTGTTTGAAGCTGCCAGAAGTAATAGCATGAGCTGTCAGTTGGGAGAAGAAAAAAGAAGTTACACAGAGGAAAAGTTGGAAAAGAACCAGACAGTCTTACAAATCCATCAGTTTACCTGTCTTGTGACTGCTGGTTAGGTGTTCACATGAATTCCAGTTGTGTGTTTGTGTGTGTGTGTGTGTGTGTGTGTGTCTGACCCAGCACAGTCAGGCCAAGGTTGTGGTTTTTTAATAAAGAAAGTTTCTGCCATGTCTGGTAATGCATGCGTCTGAATGTGTAGATTTGAACCATCATTGTGAGTAAGTGTGTGATATATGTTCAGTCTTTGAGGTTTTCTTTGCAAAACGGGAAAAAGGGTTGAATTTAAGCCTTTCACTTCAAGCAGCGGATTAAATAAACCATACAACATAAAGTATGAGACAGAAATTGCAAAAGAATAACAAATTAACTGTAATAACAATCAATCAGTTAATAGTATGTCAGTGTTGAGGCATAGTTTCGAATGCAGTAATCAGTAAATACTGTAATACTTAAATTAATAGCCGAGTCCCAAATGGCCGCCTACCCCGTTGACTGGCCTGGTGTGGGAACACATTCTGACAAATAAACACAGGTCTCTCATTAAATGCCTGGTCTGGTTTTTCTAGAAGTTCTATGGACGTATAAAACTTCTTAAACGCCGCAGGGTCACCCGCTTTAACTGCTTCTAAGCTGCTTAGATCTTTAATACAAATATTAATATTTAAGCATATGATCAATGTGTCAGTATGGACATGCTACATATAATTAGATCGGTTAGATTCTCCACAATTCAATCCTTCAGTTCATTTAATGTAAACAACAAGCCAAAGTGTAATTCATAGAGATTTACCGGTGTAACCGACATGGTAGAAGAGATAAAAAGAAGAGGTTAAAGTGCCAACTCCCGCTCCCTTTGAAGCACTTGTTAAGTCCAAATGTGTCCGATTATTTATATTCCTTTAGTCTGTAAGGGTCCACCGATCAAAAGAATCAAAACAGCTTTTCATAAAAATGAATCCAAGTTGTTAATACTGTCATGTGAAGTCTGTCACTCTGTTGTTGGGTATGATTGTTTTCGTTACATTGCTGCCTACAAAATAAAAGTACATAAGCTGTCTGTCAGAGCTAGATCAAACAAATTAGTGTATTTGATATTATTTGATATAATATTTTTATACAAGTAATATTCAAGTTTTACGGTAGTATCAGACTGTACCCTGAGCAAAAACATTTAAATCTAGTCACGAGAAGGACTGCAGAAAAGTGTATAATTCAATCACCAGTAAAGGGAAGTGGAGCAGAAGGTGGAGAGAGGATTAACAACTTTACACCATCCCCACCTCAAACAAAACATATGCTCCATACAGCAGCGTCCAGGCTACGCAAAGCACTAGAGTAGCACATAAATAAACAATCAAGGTAATTAGTTAGAGAGAGCTAGACTCAGCTGGGATAGACACATAATGAAACAGAGGAGGGATTTAAGACGACACCACATCACCACATTTAAATGAAATGAGACCGTACGTCCTCCCACCCACTCCTTGTAAATCCCATTTAAAAACAATATGGAAAGGAGTTATTAAATAGCCTTAAGATCTGGAAAGTAGAGAGGTGGGTGTAGCTTAATTACAAAAAGAATGCCACACAATAAAAAGAGTTTAGATAGAAACAAAACCAAACAGAGCTTTAATTATTCATCCTGTAGGGAGGTGACTCAGGCAATATGGTAACCTGGCACTGGTAACCAGCCCCAACACAACCCATTGTGCTGGAGGTTTACAGAAATTACACAAGAGTAACAGTAAAGATAAGCTGAAGACACAGTAGATAATAGTCCTGTAGTCCAGCAAGCATCTTTTTGGTAGCTAGACGGCTACACACGGAAGACTTCAGACCTTCATTTAGCTTTGTCTTCTATTCTTCTATTCTATACATCTGTTTATGAATTCGTAGTCCTTATCTTTACAATTAATTTTCAGCAATGTCCTGCCACAAACCCGGTTTAAAAGCAGCAGGGTTCACTACCAGAAATGCTACAAAATGATCAAACTTGTTAGCAGTTCATCGAGAGCATTCAGGAGTTAAAAGCGTGCTGAAAGACTCAGGCTCAGAGAACAGGCAAATATGTACAAGCTTACATGCAGTGTTTGGTTTCATTGTTGAATGTGATGGTTGGTTCAGGAACTATGATATTCTGTATGCCTTCAGCTGTTACATTTGTTATTGGCTTACTGTTAACTGGTGCATGTTGGATCTTTGGGTAAATGTGGTTAAATTCTGTATGTGACTTGGTGTCCCACTGCTGACTGGACAGACTTGATGATGTTGGTGATGAGTTGGATCTACTTAGTTACTATTCTATAGCCGTGTGCTACATGGTAAACTGTTGCTCCTCTGAATTTTCCTTCTCAGGCTGTTTGATTTCCTCACTGCTCTTGCGAACAACACTTTGAAAGCTTTGTGTCTCTGGCTCCGTCCACAATGCTAACGCCTTTCCACTAACATAGTAGCACCACCTCAGTCCAAGAAATACACACACCCTTGAATTAAAAAATGGTATAGCTATGTGCTGGTTTTTCCTGCTTCATCTGCCCCGTTCTCTTTTTCCTCCCTCCCTCCTTCCTTCTCTCTTTCCTGACCTGCTGTCTTTCCCTCCTGTGTGCACGATGGCTGCTTCCTCCATGCCTTCTTTCCTTCCTTACGTCACTCCTTCCCTTCTGTCCTGTCCTGTCCTGTGGTTTGTCCATTGGCGTGGTGTGCATTCAGCCTTCGAAAGCACCCTGTACACTCCCACGCCTCAGGAGTGCACCAGGACATCCTCCACACCTGTACCTTCATCCACCCCCACCTACCCTACGCCGTTGGGCTCCTCCACCACTCCCCCAACCCCACCTCTAAGGCATTCAGCCTCGCGATTCGCCACCTCGCTCGGTTCTGCCTTTCATCCAGTCTTGCCTCACTACGCCACGGTCCCGAGACGACAGCAAGCCTTTCCCCAAGCCCCGCCCCCTGCTCCAGTCCCCGCCCCGGTACCACCTCCTCCACCCAAGTCTGTGGTGTGGTCAGCGTGCAACTTCACTCCCCTGCCCCCCTCACCCCCTGTCATGATAAGCAGCCCCCCAGGGAAGGCTGCAGGTCCACGGCCGCTCATCCCAATCGCAGCACCTTCTCCTCTCACCCAGAAGCCCCCCTCGCCGGCCTCCAACGGCCCGCCAATGTTCCCGGCACCTTCTCCGGTGACCATCCCGCACAGCCACACCCCTATCGGCATCGCCTGCCCCACCCCACCACCCCCACCTACCCCGCCCCCTCTGCCCTCCCCCATAGCTCTTCCTCCGTCTTCCTCCTCCGTCTCGTCTCCCCCCTCCTCATCCCAGGCTCCTGGTGTGCCCTCTCCCTCCACAGCACCCCCTACTGCTGCAGCCGCCGCCACCACCTCTGCCTCTGCTGAGCACCTCTCCCTCCCCGTGGGCCTGGGCCTGTCGGGGCCCGGGGAGCCGGACACAGCTACAGGCCCAGAGCCCCACCCGCCACAGTGGGGCTCCTCCTGTCAACCCCAGTCCCAGGGTAAGGCCTCCAGTCTGGACTCTTGTCTCTCTTTCTCACTGCCTCTCTCCCCTCTGTCTTTGACTCACACACTAACAGAGGGGCTGTTGAACACTGTTGGATCTGTTACTGTGCTACTGATCTGGCCACAGCACAAAGTGAGTCCTATAATACAGGCTGAGATCAGAGGAGTTTTACTGTTCTTTTGAGCAAAGTGTCGGTTCTGGCCGTTACCTGACTCAACATTAAAACAGCTACCATGGTGACTGTTGTGGGATCACCTGGCGTAGTAGTCGCTGTTGCTCAGGCCTGTTTAACTTCTTTGTCAGTCTCATAAACTGCATGTACGTCCATGTGCTTGCTGCTTAAAGTTCTGGCTGTCTGACTGTTTATGAAACATGTCTGGTCTGTCAGCAGGGCATGTCTGTCTATGCCATAGTTATGTTACTACGTTGAGTTAGATTGGTGATTCAAGTCTGCACACAACCGCTGTCTTTCTCATCTCTTGGTTGTTGTTTTTGTATTTTCTTTAGCCAATTTTTCGTCAGCATTTTTTCCACCTCTGTGCTAATATTATCATTTAGCCATTTGTTTCCCTCATTCGACTGTTCACTGTGTGCAGTCAGTCAAACTTATTCCACTGCAGGATGCTCAATCTGTGTAAGACATTGCCAGAGGATCTGTGAGTGTTCTATCCAAATCAAACTCTCATTCCCATGTACTTGTTCTATAGTACTGCAATTGATTTATCGCAAATTTCATTCATACAGAAATAAAATAATACATTGGTCTTAAAGAGAAGAGAGATATGTTGGCCTGCCATGAAAACCCTTAGTTTAAGAATTTCTGCTCTTGGTAATTGTACATTTGCAATATGAAATGCACTCCTGCATCCGGATTTATTGTATCACTAAATTTGGAAACATAAACAAACATTTCATTTGAAATATCCATTTTGTTAGCCTTCTGTCTCAGTTTATGATGATTTAATAATAATAATAATAATAATAATAATGATAATAATGAGCTCTGTTGTCTTTCATTGGACTATTTGCATATAAATGCAAAGATAGCTTTTTATTTTAAAAAGCAAATTAACCTTAAAACCACTGCTCCACTGACCTTTATCCAATGGCATTTCTCTTTTTAGCCAAAGGATGGTCTTATGACCTTTGACCTCAGAGATCTTTAAACTGATTGGCTGGAAGAGACTAGACTGCTGGTTAAATATTGATCATGGCTCAGTTAGTTCACATTCCATAATAGATTATTGATCTTAGGTCTGTGATGAGTACTGGGAGTACACAATTCTGATACTTCTAATCATCAGTAAAGTAATCATCTTACCACTACTTTCTACTTCATATTTATTTTGTAGATATATATATTTTTGACTATGGCATTGACCTAAATACAACTGCTGCCTAAATTCCTGCCTTAATGGTCCTTTTGGTCGTTATGTGTTATTTTGAATGTGTCATTATTAGACACAGAAAACTGTGTTTCATTTAGTGCTCAGTGTTGATTGCTTTGTCTCTGCTCCTTTTATTGTATACCTATCTAGATAGGATTAGGCAATGAAGTCTTATTCAGGCTGAAACATTGTTCAGTGCTGCTCTGTCATTTTTTGCAGGTTTGTCAAATGCTGCAGTATCACAGTGATGTAAGGCAGAAGAGCATTTGACAGGGAGGGGATGGAAATATGAAATGTGCATTATTTTCCTTTATCATTTATGCTGAAGTGAATTCTATATAAAAATGGGAAGTTGTTTCACAATCATTGATTATTCTGCTTCCAGTCTAAGAACACTTTCCTCAACAGAAATTTACAGTGAACAGGCAGACGCCGTGTCAGATTTAAGACGTATTATTAAAGGAATTTATTACGGTCTAACTGAGCCTGAGATCAACAGGTTTTTGCTCTGTATTGGTGTCCTAAAAAAAGACAGTTTGAATAAAATGTCACTACCCTGTGTCTTTGCCCATCCTCTACCCTCTAACCCCTCCCCCCATCAGATGTGGTGCAGACCCCGGGGCTGACCACTCCCACCCCTCCCCCACCTCCACCCCTGCCACCCGGCTCCACTGTGACCTCTGCGGCCGCCACCCCGGCCGTCACCCCAACCACCCCAGCCGGCCACCCTCCCCCACCCCCACCTCCTCCACTCCCTCCTGCACTGACTCCAGGCGGGACCCCCCCTCCTCCACCAGGTCCACCTCCTCCTCCCGGAGCCCCACCCCCTCCCCCGGCACCCCCCCTTCCCGCCGGACTGTTCTCTCCTGCGGAGGACCGCCCCCTCTCAGGTCTGGCCGCTGCCCTCGCCGGAGCCAAGCTGCGCAAAGTGCCAAGGGTGAGCACTTGATAAGTTATTTGATCAATAGAAGGCTTGACATTCCATTTCTATACTCATATACGTCATTTCTGTACTATTCAAGTTATAGTTCATTAAAGCATTATTAAGGTGATTAAATGCCCCCCCCACACACACACACACACACACACACCTATTTTCTCTCTTTCTTTGTTTCAGAACAACAAGATCAACAGAAACACTGTTGATACAAAGCCCTCACACATTATATTCTTACAAAATCACACAGAATCAGTGTCCAAACACACAATCCACGTTCACGCATGATCAAACACACACAGTCACCATCTGTCACCTCTCAGACTCAGAGGTTTACATGTAGTGCTGACAGCCTTCCTGCAAAATCACTGCATGTCTGCTTGTGTTTATAACATGATGAAATACAGAAATTAACAAGAAATGTGACATTTCTGCGTTTTTCAGTATTTATAGTTTCTCTGATATGATACAAACATAAAAAAAGACCAATAACATGTTTTCAATTCTTGTATAATTCTCAAAATAGTGTTAATACTTCCTCCTGTAAAGAACATTTGTGTTTCACAAGAGATGTTCCTTGTATCCCTTCAGAGTGATGACGCAGGGGCAGCTCTGGCAGCAGCCATATTGGGGGCAGGAGGGGCCGCCGGGGCCAAATCTGAAGCCAGAGGCAATGGCCCTCTGCCTGGAGGAGGAGGGCTTATGGAGGAGATGAGCGCCCTATTGGCCAGGAGGTAGAGTCACATCACATATTATTGTTAGCTTCAGTATATGTCAAGCTACTTTCTGTTTCTCCCAGATCTTGTTTTAATAAACATTCTTTGGTTCCAATACCCATTAGATCCTATTAGTCCTTACTTTTTTCTTCTTATTACAGCTACGTTACATGCGTGTATTTGCAGAAGTAATATAAATAATTACATTTAAAAATACAGCAATGTACTGGAAATGGTAGAATATAGCCACTGTTGACGTTGAGGAGAACAACAATTAGGTACTCAGTTACGATGAACTGACAAAGTCTGCTCCAGCTGGTATGCAGTATATGTTACATGTTGTTCAACTGATCACAATGTTGGTCACCATAGGTTCCCAGTCTCCCAGTAGTGTGCAAAATTCTGAGGTGATTTGTGGTAAAATCCTCGTTTGACTGTATCTAAAGTCAAATAAATGATAAATATACTTAATTATAGAATTAATGTAGATCTGAATTCCAGGTTTTACTCAAAACCTTGAGTTAAGAAAGAAGTGGTTTGAGTTGTAACTTGCTATTAGTCAACATTAAACTGTACCTGGGCTTTGTGCCTTACAGGAGAAGAATTGCAGAGAAGGGCTCGTCACCTGAACCTGACCAGAGATCAGTAAGTATCATCAGAGCTGCTCTGTCTTCTCACTGCTGAATAACACAGTAGCTCCTCTGTGTGATAACACACATGGTTTCCTCAGTGTGTCCAGGCTGTACAGGGTGTTCTACATTCACTACATTCCTGTGTAAAATGAGTCCTCAATCACTCAGTGTGAAAGTCTGTGTGGATGTCGCACAACACATTCCAGTCTGTAATCACTACGTCTATATAACATAGTCTGAAATATGTTCCTGAACTGCAGAGAAAACCAGGCCTTTATTTGGAACAGGCTTTTGCCTTTATTTGTGATGTATTAGTGCAGTACCTGTCTGGGGCGTGGCCGTTCAGAACTCGTACCCGTTCAGAGCAGTCTGATTTGTTGCTTTCTTGGGTTTTTTTCTGAGACTTGCGGTTCTAAATTACAGGCCAAAACGTCAAGTTTGTTGTTATAGTGCCACCACCACGGCCAAATTGCACCAAATTTGTGTGAAGTGTGAAGTTGGTCGGATGAATGTTGAGAAAATCGAAGGACAGACTAATATAGTGAGATTCCTTCCTTTATAGTTAGATTAGATGTCAATGAAACCCACACTTCCTGCACAGATGTTTCACATTAAAAGTTTTCCAGCTGTTCAAAGGTTATAAACTCTCCTTTTTCATAGCTTTTAATGTGAAACATCTGTATGAATTGTTGAGTTTTGCTGATCATATCTTAATGATTAAAGAAACCAAAGTAAACTTTTAAGTATGGGAAAAAACTGAAGCGTGGTCACAAACAAATTAAAGACAAACACAAGAAGAAAGTAGGCTACTACAGACGTAGAACCACACCAGATTTTATTTTGCATGGGCCAATATCGAACTGGGACTGTTACTGAATGTAACACAGGAGTTAAAAGTGTAGGCTGTAAGTATTATTTGCATGGTACAAAATATTTCAATAAAAATACCAACTCAAAAACTCTGTCAGTAGCATCGTGTTTCTACTTTGCATGACTTATGAGACCCAATCAGAGAGCCAAACGTGAGCGTCTGGGTCATCATTTCTAAAGTCCTCCATTTTTTCCCGTCTTCACTAAAACGCTCTCCAGAGTTTCAAAAGGAAAAACGGGGTTGGCAGCGTTTTCAAACTTCTCCCTTTTAGGTCTTTTTTGCCGTTTTAGTCTGGGCGGGTGGTACAAACGTAGCAAAAGGTCTCAGTTTTAAAACCAAAATTTGATTGGATTAGGTCTGAGTGTGACTCATTTTTGACCTTTTGAACTTTGTCTATCTGTCAAACAGGAGGAGGGTGAGATAAACACAACCCCCAAAGTGTCAGCCTGTAGCACACCAGGTGAGTGAACTAGCAATCTGAAGAGTGGGGGAGCAACAACAGGAATTAATATGCATCTTCCTCCCACAGGCGACGAGGATTCAAGTTAGCATTGTCTAGTTTTCATGCAAATGTGCTGTTTTATAGTTATTAGAACTTTATAGTTGTTTTTTATGATGATACAGGATAATTTTGCTTTAACGATTAGCTGAACTGCATATCATAAGAGGAGTTTAATTTTCATATTCCTGCTGTGTTTTTGTTTTGTTCTTCTCCAGACATGCCGAGGAAGCCATGGGAAAGAACAAACACCATGAACGGTAGCAAATCTCCAGTTATCGGAAGGTACAGTATCTCACCTCTTCTCTGTTGAACAAATAGTTTCTCTTACACTGTGTCATTTGTTGTGTATTGTTGCACTTAAAGTACATTTTCTATCCTGAAATGGCTCAGAAGTAAAAGAATGTTGTAATATTTTTGCCCATCTGAATGCTAACAGCAATACCACTGTACAACAGTGAAAGAGACCATAGGGGCATATAAAAGCATTAGCATCAGTTAGCTTCAGCATGATGCACTGCTGAGCTATTGAGCACTGGCTAACATCACTAAAGCTTATGTCGCCTTAATGTGCACACTGGATGTACGTTAGACACCCAACTTGAAGCTGATGTCTGTGTGCGAATGAAGAAGAATAGGCTGTACCAACTTTAGCTAAGCAGTTATCAAGACTGCTGGTTTGGTTGGATGAATGCGTCACTACCAGCAATTTAAAGTAAACAGGAGTACAGTAAGTGCAGTCAGAGCCTCACGATGCCACTTATCTGCGTTGCCAAATAGTGGCTGATAATACTTTTACCTCCAGGTCACACTGTAGTGATTAGTTAAGACCACTAAAAGATACTTTAGATTTAACTGTGGATTAAAACCGTGTTAGAGGTTTGGTGGTATTCTTTTCTATTTTAGATTAAATCCAGAGGAAGTGAGAAAGTTAGCGTATAATAGCCTGCTAAATGGGCATTATGAACAGCCCTGACCCAAAGCCTTCTCATCAGGCTGGGGACATGCGCAGATAGATACTAAGCTGTAATTTGTAAAGTCAGTGTCTCTGCTGCTCACACAGACGAGAGTCTCCGTGGAGAAATCCCATGGGAGCAGATTCCTCCAACAGGTAGAGACAAAAGGCCCTGTTGAGTTTGAGAAACCCCTTTCTTTAAAACAATCTACTTTTTTTCATCAAGTTTTGCTGTGATGGACGTGGTTTTGTTGGAGAGGGGCTACTTTCAAATGCTTGGATGAAACGTTTGGAATGAACCCTGTGTTGTCTTTTCCAACCTGACCGACCTGCAGGGGCCAGCTCTGTTCGTCTGCTGTGTGATGTGTTTCTAAACCAGTTCGTGTCTGTATGATGGATTTCTAACTTAATCTAGTCCTAGTTTTTGCATGCTGCTCTCCCCGCTGTCCTCGAAACGTTTGAAGTTTTTGTCTTTAAAACAAGAAAATCCATATGTGTACTTCACATACTGTACAACCACCCTATCATACACACAGACACAAAAATGAGTGTCCGCCCAGTGCAGAGTAGACTTGGCACTGTATTATCATTATAGAGCCAGAGCAGATCCAGCAGGCACTCACAGATAAGGCCCCGCTGTGTGTGTAAGCGTATGTGTGTGCACGCACATGCACAAGAGAGGAGACCAGATGGGCCGTTTTGATTGCAGCTTATTAAGAGTGAATCTAGTATGGGACCCACAGAGAGCTGAGCACACTGGGACTTGTTAAAGTGCATGAACTCATAGTGCTGCACATGGTTTTATATTTACAGTTGTGTAAGCTCCTTATGATATGGATTAAATCACGTGTTCAGCTTGAAATTCCAGATAAAAGCAACAAGCAGCAGTCATGACAATGTGCCAAACTGCAGTTTAATTGATAAAGAAAACATTCCTTTTAATGTAGCTGACTATCAAATTAAAACTTTGAGATAAACATCAGACTGAACAAATATATCAGTATAATGTTTCCCAGTCTGAATATTGTAAAAGTTATTAACATTGTACAAAAAGTATGTTGGACTGAGTGTAAACTGCAGCTGTGACTGATGTTAGTTCTCAACTCCTCTGTGTCTTCTGTCCTGCTTTACAGATATTATCTTTAAACATTCTGAAATATAAATCTCAAGGACCACAAACTTCATTTCCATACAGTATTTCCTACCCATAGCTACTAAATGACCCGCTGCAGAGCTCATTTCCTTTTCATTCACTTCTCCTTCCTGTCACACTTCCTGTCTTGAAAGTGATAGGCTGCTCTGTGAAATTTCCCCCTGATGATTCGCTCAGTGTAGCTGCACATACAAGGTCTTTCCGCTATTGCTGGCATCCTCCTGGCGTATCGCTTTTCTGAGAAGCATTTGGAATAAATTACACACAGACATTGCACTATAGGGTCCTTACTTGACACGGGGAAGAGGATGTATGGAATCTTCAAAATAATTGGAGAGATCCAAACTCCCTTATTAAGTTTCATAGATTGATGAGACCTTTGTGTGTGTTTGCTCTTGTGTGTTTACATGCATGTCTAGGTTCATGGCCAAATGTGTGCGCATGACCAGGATTTGGTTCCTAAGTGCAGATTGGGCAGCAGTCCCTTAATGAGCACATTTTATTTCAAACTATTCTACTGAACAAATATATACTTTCGACAGGTTTTTGCCATCAGATTCCACAGCAACAAAAAAGTTAGGTTGATTTTCCTGTTAAGGGTTTACAGCAGCAGATGTTGAAATCATATGGCTTTACATTAGACAGTATATTGACTTGAACAGAAAATTGATCAGGCTGTGAAAATATTAATAGCCAGATAATGGAAATATTTTTGCAAGTCACATTCTTGCTAGATGCACGGTGTGTCTCATATTCTGTTGTCCATCAGATAAGATCCAGTGAAAGTTTGCAAGCAGTCTGTTTTATGATGTTTGCACAGGTTAGTACTATTTTATGTGCTAGTATGAAGTCAGATGCTGTTTGAGTGGTCTTACTAGATCCCAAATGTGTATTTATTTGATATACATGATAACAATGTAGCAACCAGTGTTTGAGCATCCTGTTTGTTCACCTCATTCCTGGCTCCTCTTTGTTCTCCTCTTACACTGACTTTATTTTCTCTTCCTTGTCTCTCCTCACAGACCTAAATCCACTCCTACACCTACTGCATCCTTAAGTGCCAACGGTGTGCCAACAGATGCTGTTGACTATGACAGATTGAAACAGGTAAGTGAACACTTGGATCACCTTTTCACAAATTTTAAGGTGAATTTTTATTTCATCACAGTACATTATAGGTGCGACGTTATACTTCCTGTTTATGCGACAAAATCTCTTCCTCAGTAATAAACAACTTTCTGTATGGCACAAATACCTGCATTATATGAGTTTTACTTGTAATTCTGTTTCAAGATATTGAGTTCATATTGGTCTGTAATACAAAAATCGTAATGACCTGCATATTATAAATCATACAAAAATGTTAAACAATATATAGATATTAAGGTTAGATGTCTTTTTTGGTCCAGCATAACCTGTTCTTACACAGGGATTTTTATTGTTCAAGTGGTTTTTGTTCTGTTTTTTATAACTAGTTATGCAGCCCTGTGACAAGTTTAACTATATCTAAAGTGTGGGTGTGTGCGGTGATCCGTCATATATTAAGGCAGCTCCTCCCTCTGACCTCTGTGAATGAGCCTGTTAGATAAGTACAGAGTCTCTCAGTGTCCTGTCTATCTGTCACTACAACTGGTCACAACAGTGGGACTGGGAGACAGATGACACCCTACAAACCCACTACTATACTCACTTTCATTATTGGCTTCTCATTAAGTGTGAATTGGAGGCAAAAGAGTATAACCGATAATCAGTTTTGTTACGTCTTGCTGCCACTAAGTTATTAGCTGCTTTGTAAAGAAGACAAAGAATCTCCCTTTGCCAGTTGGCAGGGCCTTCACCTAACTAAATTCAAAAACCAAAGGAAATAGTTAGCATCTCTTCTTAATGTCATGTGACTTTCCAAGGGGAGTTGACAGTAGAAATGAGTAGGTGGCAGGAGACTGGTTTGTCTCTTCTCTGAGGCCTGAAATTGATCATGTTGTATGGAAAGGTGACTTTGTTTTGTTTCTTTTTTTTAAGGACATTCTGGATGAGATGAGGAAGGAGCTGTCAAAGCTAAAAGAAGAGCTCATTGATGGTAATTATCATTGCAGCCTATGCTCTCTATTTACACACACTCAAGCCATCCGGCAGAGAGACTCCAAACCTGTCAGACATCTCTCAAGTAGTGAATCTATACATCAAACACTAAACAAAGCAATTGAGCACTCTTCTTCTTTTCTTGCTTTCCTTCCTTCCACTGGGCATTGTTTTAGATAACTTAGATTTATATATTATATATTAGGGCTTTATTATGTTTAACCTGAAATGCTGGCTGAAGACAGGAAGTGAAAGAAAATACTCTGTTCACTGAAACACAGTAATTCATTTGTTTACATCAAAGGTACAATACTATTTTGACTCATAGCTTATTGCTTCTCAGCAAGCTGCAGCACTTATACTTTGTTGCAGACAAGCTGCCTGAGAGTTTACTGCAGCTATCTGCATTCAGCGCAGTAGCCCGAACTGAACCTATTGAACTGGGGGAAGGACAGTCCTATGCTGGTCCAACCTTTTTGGAGGGTGTGAGTGCCACTAGAACTCAGGCCTTATTGATATCAATAATATGAACTGAAATAGAGTCTTAGGGTGTCTTTCTGATTTTTACCTAATGTTTTTGTGTAATTTTTAGACCCTGTGTCAAAATGTAGTTTTAATACCTTCAATATTCCAATTAATGAAAGGCTTATGAGGTGCATATACTTAAAGCTGGGCTAGGCAACGTTGGAGAACTATCAAGAGACAGCTAGATTTTGAAAGTATCAAACCGAAAAAATCCCACCCCCTCCTTACAGGCCTCCATCCAGAAACACTCCCGCTAAACACATGTTCATTTACAGTGAGTGCGCAGGTAGACGGGCAGTGAGGCCAGCCAGTCACACACATATTTTTGAGTAAGAGCAATTTATTTATTGGTTTCTGTCAGCATGTAAAGAGAATCTCTACTAAAACAACAAAATATACCTCTAAAATAAATTGCCTACCACGTTTTTAAAATAGATTTTCATTTAATTAACTTCATTTAATTAATGCCATGCTTAATAGGACTCACTGCTCACGTTGTGCCCCGGGGCCCACTAGTGGATTAATTGGGCCTTGAATATCAGTAACAAGTAAGTGAAGTACGTGGGTTATTACAACTTGGGCAGAAGTATTGTACTTACCAAAGTAATTGCTGAGATCTGGGAACATGGCAAAAACACAGGGCAACGAACACAAGCGGTCATACAACCAGACAGGTTTTTAACAAGCCAGCAGTATAGCCAGATGATCTAAACCACATTAGTTTGAGGTAAAGCTGAAAGTGAGTGCACACGAAATGTTAGAAATAATCATTGCACAGGAAGACTGTAGTTGCGTGTGGTTTGGTAATACTTTGTTCGTTTCGCCTTTGTTTTTTCTTCCATGTTACTCTGGCTAACATGGGTGTTTTATTTATAATCTGATCATGTGACCGGTCGTGTTTCCTGTACCATCTTTCTTATTTTTAGCGATGTCGCCGTGTTCCCAGATATCATGCACTATTATTAAGCTACGCTCAATATTATGGATTTCACAGGCATTACATTATTTTAAGTTTTGGTAGCTTAATATACACCACACATTGCTGCAACAGCCCTCCAAAAAAAGGTTGGACCAACATAGAACCCTCTTCACAAGTAAAGTTGAGCTCAGGTCAAAAATAACTCTGTGTTTCTCACATGCGTCTGTCTATCTTTATCTTTGTGTCCCTAGCAATCAGGGAGGAGCTGGGCAAGTCCAGCACAGCATAGAGGATCTAAACTCCCTCTTCAGAACATCTACATCCACATGACCCGACAGACAACCACAGTCAATTTAAGACGTGACAATACAGCAGCGGAAAATAAAATCAACAAAATGATGGAGACGGTGATGATGACAATACTCATTTTAATACTGAGAGAGAAGATAATTTGGGGCCGAGCAGCGTCGGACAGAACAACAATGGACAGGGTGGTGTTGGGAGTGTTGTAACTCGGATAGCTGTGACTCTCAGAATCCATTCTATGAAGGCTCATGTTTCTGGCTGGCTCCCTGCCCCACCCCCTCCTCCCGCTGAGGGCATCGCATCCTGGAGGACAGTGCACGGTCTGAAAGAGAAGCGAATGTCTTTATGCAAAGATTATATCTCTCTCTTTGTCCTATAATAACAAGAAAAAAAAACATTTTAAAAAACAATCTTGAACTCTTCGATGATACTGTATTAACCATTGGCGCATAAGTGAACAGCGTTGTTGAGGCTAAGAATCAGAACTCTCGTGATTTCCTATCAAAAGGCACGTTTTATTAGGAGAGTTTGGAGACAGGAAGAAGGTGGGTATGGAAACTAAACTTTTTTTCCCATAATGCCATAGGGGTAGCGTGCGTGCATGTGTGGGTGTGTGTGAGTGTGTATGGGGGACTGACAGTCTCTGGTGAGGTCCACCACTGCAGGACACTGTAAAGCTTGTCTTCCTCAAATACTATTTTAACCTGAATATGTACAAAAGAGAGAAAAAGTTATTTAGAAAAAAAAAAGTATCTATCAACCAGTCTAAGTCTGTTTCCATGTAGATCTATGGCCATATCAAGTAGCTCAATAATCCAGTCTTTAAACAGGATGCTCTCTCGTCTGTGGAATCATAACCAGATGTGTTGTTTCCCTTCTGGAGTGAGCGCTCTGCGGAGAAATTTTACTGTTTCCTTTGTTGATACTGTTGAGTTTCAGGTGGACGAGACGTGGAGGGTTGCTGCCTGCCAGACAGCAGCCACCGTAGCTCTCTACCAAACTTTATCTGTCAACAACAAGTGCTGATTTGCTAATACCCGTCATGCTCGTTGACCATGGCCCGACGTGTAGATAGAACTGAATTTTCCTTCTGGTACATTTTGATTTAAAGACTCTCTCCCCATTTTCTCTCTCAGTCTCTGTCATGTTCGTCATATTTAGGTACTGCGTTTGGTGTACACATGTACGGTAGTTTTCTTTATACGGTGAGGGTCACAAGTCTGCCACGAAAGTGCATTAAATGTCACTCGTTTTATTACAAGCAATAAGTGTAGCATCTATTTTAAGGCCCACCTGCCCCGATCCCAACACCACCAAACATTTTTCAGTGTCTGTCCTTTTTGGCCGTCCCGAGCCCCTGTTGGACAATTTTTCTGTGTGACTCCACCTCTTGTCAACTTCATCGCAGATCTTCTGTGAAACTGAAGGCTGACATGAAAGAATATCAGAGCAACACTGTAAGACATGATTTCATGGAATAACATCGTTTCTAAATCACAAAACTCCTTTTTTATTTTTTTCTATAAAATCCAAGGATACTGTATCTTTAGCCACATTGGAGCTGAAATGTTTTTTTAATCCTTTATTTTTATTTTACTGCATTTATAAAGTATACCTTTTGAAACATGCACAGGACAACCCCAGTGTGTAGGAGATGGTGTCCATGTGAGGACATGAATGTGCCATGTTCTATTTCACCAGTGCTTAGTGGTGTTTGTTTCATCTTTATTTCTTTGCCTTTTTCTCCTGCCGCTGTCAAATCCTTAAAATGAGAAACTGTATTTTCCTGTGTTTTTAGGTAGATAAGGGAACTGTCACTTTGTTTCAACATTTCCTTCAGTTCAGTGCTGAGTTTGAGGGATATGCTGTGAGCTGAGAGACTGATGTCCAAATACTGTAGCTGTTGCTCCAAGGTCACATGTCAAAGTAACAAATCTGCAATCCTTTTTTCTAAATGAGATCCTGGGGAGGGACAGCTCACCTAAAACAATCAATGACTCATGACTGGCTTAACAGCCACCCAGAGTGGGGTCTGCAGGACAAGCTTGGCTTATCCTAAACAAGTTATAAAATGATGCTTTGTGATTTAGCATCTACAGTGAGAATTTTGTGGTGTCGTGATTGTTACATGCATCCATTGGTTCAGACATCTCCCAAAGCAATACAGTGCACCACAGTTCATCCTTAATGTGACTGTTCTGGCTCCTTTGCAACAGTAACAGTATTTGTAACTTAAAGGGGCACTCCAGTGATTTAGTATTGCACTTCCATTAAGTTGAGAGACTTGCAATAAGCATATTTTGAAAAAGCAACAGTCAAAATCAAATCAGCAAAGGGTGAAATATCCCGACTTTTAGTCCTACAATTCCCATAATTCAACTCAGTAGCATCTTTTCATTGGACACTGTCTGATAAATGTAAACATCTTTCAGACTCCACGCTCCCAGCTTGTAATGCTAGATTTCTGCAAAATATATGTAGTCTCCAAGCATAGGCAGAGATTACCCTGGTGACATCACTATGACATCATTAGGGTTAGCTTCTCCAGAACCATAGAAGGCTGAGTGGCAGTGAACTGATTCTCATGTGTGAAATCGGTGGAGTGCCCCTTTGAATTATGATTAGCAGAATGAGCTAAGCCACACCGTGGCCTGCTTGTACCCTGGGATCCCAGTGAAAGGTTTGTTAATTAGTTTACTTCTGTGGCTGTTGGATCTCATACAACAAGACTGTGTTCAAGGGCTTGGATGTTATAGCTTTGCTATAAAAGATGAGATATCACCATAGACTGTATGGATATCACTGATTTGAGAAAATTAAATTTCCCCACAGCTTCTCTCGTTCACTTTAGATCTGGTCAAACTTGTTAAAAATATTGTGATGAGAAAAAGGAATGGGTTCATTCTGCTTCAGACATACAGATGCCATAACCCTTTGATTGGAGTGTAGACGGGGTTTTGGGCATCTTTTTTTAGATTTCATGCTCTATGTCTCTGTTGGTGAAGTTATCTCATCTTCTCATCCACTTTTTAAAATGGAAACACTCAGCCAAGACGCTCCCTGTAGTGTGTTTACACCGCATCGATTGCACTTTAAGAGAAAAACCCACAGAGCAATCCAACATACAGTTGCTTAAAGCCTCTGTGACCAACAGTGTGGCTATCTCACCAAAGGATTCAGCTCCTGCTAAACATAATCACACTCAACAAAGTCGCCTTTTTTTGTGTCATTTTGTTAAGATGTTGAAAATGGAAGGAAGATGTCTGTGTCTATGTTCAGTCCTTTGGACATGATGGCGGGTGAAATGTTTTGATCAAGAAAAGTTTATCTCTTTGTGAAACTATGTGGTTTGTGCCTTGTTCCGAAGTTGCATTTAATATGTCAAAGATATAAAGATGACTAGTAATAATATCTGGGGACTGTCGTTATGATCATGTGCAGTTGTTTTGCATTTTGTTTGTCTTTCTTCTTTCCATCATGGTCATGTCAATTTGAAGGGAGAATTAAATGACCTCTGTACTGTTCCCCACCGAGAAAACATCTTTGCACCAAGATCTTCTTTGTTTTTGTTTTGTTTTTTACATAAATGTGATTTATTTCCATATAGTTGTTAGGTTGCTTTTCTTAAAGTTCAGAAGTACAATCAAATCTTTGAGATATGAAGCCTAGATAGGTTCAAAGATGATCTTCGCTCTGAGATGATTTTTCTAAACCTAAAGCCCTGCTTGGAAGGCCAGATGAGTCTGGCTACAGTGTCATGCCATTTAACTGTCACAGAGACCTTGTGTTCAGCAGCTTAGCTTTCTTTACGCGCTTGGAAATCCGTTTTGTCCTCTGCAGTGAGGTCTGCTCCATGTTAACGTCAGGTTGCTGATGGGAACTTTTATCTTTGTCCACAAAAACCCAGTTTTCTGCTGAGGGAGCTAAAGGATTTCTGAATTTGCAGGGATATTTGCAATGAATTTGGCTTAAGCAAGTTTCTTAGATGGGTTTCCAGAATTCTTTTATCATCTGCATTGTACCATACTGTTCTCATGTTAATTAGTCTTTTCTTACATGCTAACATATTGTTTTGTTTGAGCAAATTAAATAAAAATTGCAATACAAGACTAGGACTTGTTTCTTTTTAAATGTTAATAACCTTGACCAAGATGTTTCAGCTTTAATCTTATTTTTATTGGCTTTTATGATATATATCAAACATCAACACAACATTTTCATGTGAGACTTAAACGACATGTCCTGATCAAAGATGACTCCAAGATTCCTCACAGTGGTGCTGGAGGCCAGGGCGATGCCATCCAGGGTAACTATATCTTTAGAGAATGCGTTGTGGAGGTGCTTAGGCCCCAGAGCAATAACTTCAGTTTTATCTGAGTTTTACATTAAATAACTGGGGCGGCTGTGGCTCAGGAGGTAGAGCGGGTTGGCCGTTAATCGGAAGGTCAGCGGTTCAATCCCTTGCTCCCCCTGGTTGCGTGTCGAAGTGTCCTTGGGCAAGATACTGAACCCCGAATTGCTCCTGGTGAGTGTGAATGTTAGTTTCCGTTTGAGCTCAGTGTGTGAATGGTGAATGCAGATGTAGTGTAAAAGAGTGGTCGAAAAGACTAGAAAGGCGCTATACGGAGCATAACTGTTGTTGTGATTTGGTGCTATATAAATAGAATTGAATTAAACTATGTAATTTAATAACTCAGAAAAGTAGATTTAGTGTTAGGTTACTCTTTGAGTCAGTGAACTGAGTGATCACTTACACGGCAATGTCTATCTAAAGTTTGCTAACATTAGCCACCATAAGTGGGGCTGTAGCAGCAAAACCCCTGGGTGTACTGAAGTGAACAAAGATGAGTTTTGTTGCTTATGAATTTAAGAAGTGTTATTTCTTCTTTCAAAAGCATCACTGTCTCACTTTAAGTGAATGAAGACTTTGAGTTCCCTGTAGGCCTTATCCCCCACCAGGTCAGCCCCTGTTTCACAGCCCATTAATTGTTACAAGATGTCTTCCTCACATTCACTCTTAGCAGTGCAGGACAGGAAGAGGAAGACTAACTGCAAATGAGAGCGAGAAACTTTTTTCTTTAAGCCTGCAGTCCTTCCTTCTTGTGCTGCTGTCTGTCAGTGAGCTGAGCCGAGCTGAGCTGCTGCTGTGTTGCTGGAGAGTGAAAGGATGACAGTACTGAGAACAAGATTTGAACCTACAATACTGTCAAGTTGTGGGTTGCACTTTCAGTGTGCTCAGCTACAAGGACTATTCTCAGAGGGTTTAGTACTGAACCTCCCCTTCTGTGATGCATCACAGCTCTTTAATAGTTAAATCTTTTCTCTTTTTTCTGAACATGTAAAATCAGGGTTTGGTCATTTTTTCCTCTTGCGCAACAAAATTTTGTGTATTTGCAAAAGCTTCCCGTTCCATCTGTCTGTCGAATGCAGCTCGCTTTTTCTGTTGTCTGCTTAGAAAACTTACTCACTGGCGTTAGTGATGTATGACATCACAGGATGAACAAAGGGGAGAGCTGTTGAAAAAGAGGAGGGAAAACATCAGAAGGGGTGTTTTGGAGTGTTTTTGTGCGCACATTTTTTGTTTTTAAAAACATAACAATTGGCTGTTCATAAACGACTCGTCTTAAAGTAACTCATGAGCAGCCAGTGTATGTATTTAAATAATGCATTTGCAATGCTGTTATTATCTGAAGGGTTAAATCACTATACTGATTTGATTAATGATTAATAATGAGAATATAGGCTTTGAATCTGTACATTTGGGTTTGTGGATATGGTATTTAAAAAAATAAATAAATAAAAATTCAATTATGTATATTTCTCTTTGTTCGATTGTATTAAAGTTGTAGAAACCAAAACCAAATTATCTAAATACAACTTAGCCATTCATAATATTATATTTCATAATAACCTCAAAAGGTTCCTGAGTGACACTTGAAAAAACTGCAGTTGCCACAAATACTTCTAATCTGTGTTTAAGATTAAAGGTGACTTCCTGCATTTTATGGGCTGTAAAATGTGTCTGTGCAGCTTCTTTTTACAACACATACACTTATACTTCCTGTGGGCGGTGCATAGAGAGGTATGGCATCTTGAGTTCATTTGAGGTTTGACTTGCAGCCAGAGAAGGGCTGTGCTGTGGCGAAAGCTGCACTAAGACAGGAAAACACCCTGAGCTGCTGAGAGAAAGACGAGGAACCTGAAAAAACACAACGCTGTAAATTGATTGGAGAGTTTGAATTTTCAAAATCAGTATTCTTCCTCTTATGGTGTTTATGAGCTTTGGGTATGAGTGGCAGGTGTGAATTTTGTGTCACAACAGTCAGGTCTCCTATTACCATTTGCTTATGCAAATAAGACCTTCCATGCAGCCGTTACTGACTCTCATTTGAACTTGTCTGAGTGACTTGGCTCACTTGCTATGTGGAAGTAGTTTGATGCCAACCAATTTAATAAATCCATGATAATTAGGTACAGTAAGGTAATGACTAAAGAGATTAAAGAAAATTGCATAACTTACTTAAACTCTGAAATATGTTATGAAGGTCAAACACAATTAAAAAGCTACAGGATTTTAACAATTTAATGTTGTCTGCTGTTTTATGGTATTTGAGCTAATGATTCAATTAATAATAATTCAGCATACAGTAAGCTTTAGTATCTGCATATTATTTTGGTTTTTAGTATGGAACATATTAGATATATTGGCTCCTACTTCTTTGTAGTGTGATGACTTCATGATTTCAAGTTTCACTTTTTGATGGATGATTCCCGAAAAATGAGGACAGATAATTGTTTCCTATGCAGCATTATTATGCAAATATGTTCAAGTGTCTTTCTTCATATTAAGTAAATGTTTTGATAAATATACTGTGATAAATGATGCAGTCCATATGAAAAATGTGCAACAGAAGTGCAACTTGTGACAGTACTGACTCTATCAAGTGATGTAATGTGAACACATCTGTCCCCCAGAGCTTGATTAACACAGAATGACAACAATAAGTCAGGAGCATTACAGTAAGAGTACAGTACCATTAGGATGAAAGCTTTCACGCAGAAAAAATAGAAATTATATTTCTTCCTCTAGTGTCATTTTTATTACAGATTAAAAAAGGAACATGTTTGCCTTGGGCATACAAAGTAAGAATGGATCTATACAGATAAAATTTCAATTTCGAGTCAATTTCACCAGGATTCTGGTTATTGTTGCCACTGTTACAGAAGGCCACATTAATAAATATAGTAGGAAATATGTTGTATATATGTTAAAATTTTACTGTTTTAATAACACATTTATTACATAATACATTCATATTTAACTATTTTTATTACAATATTACGTTAATTTCAGTATGAATATTTCTATTATAGTAATGTTTATTATGTGAGATGTGTTTTTGACGATTTCAACCATTTTGTCTGACGGTAATTTGACACCAGTAAACAGAGTAGTCGTGACTCCCTCAGAACCAATCCAAACTCAGTTAAAATCCACCGATAACCAATGAAATTGCAGAACTGTTTGAAATGAACGTTGAGTTAGCCAATCGGCAGCCTTCGCGCCTTCCTAGTCACCGGTGGGTTTCGCCCAGAAAGGGAGGGAGAACGAGCTATACGTCAAACGTTAACAAAGTCCGTTGTTAAAATATAAAGCTTAATTTTATTATTTCCTTGTTTTTTTTGGAATATCCTTTCAGTTTTACTCTCTGGAATTATTTGCCTATTTTTAAGGTAAGTACAACCGTCCGACGCATTTGTATGTGAAGCAAAATAGCAAATCGCTTTGTTGAGAAATTAGGGTTTAGCCGAAGCTAACTCAAGCTGTCAGTATAACGGCTCTGCAGGCTCCGAGTAGTTGCTGGAACCTTAAGTTGTTTCCATTGGTCCAACTAAAATGTTGGAGGATATGTTAGGTTATATATATATGTGCTGGAACTTTTAGCTTGTAGTTGTATTAGAAATATTTGTTAGTTTTGGCCAGCAACACTGCTTGTAAGTGCTATTCGTCAACATCCCGATTAAGGACACCCAACCGTAACGGTCCCATCCATGGTCAGAAATTAGACTGTGCCCGCTTAGTCAAAGACAACCTATATGCGACTGTAACGCTAACATTAGCCGGCTTTGCGACTGCCTGCGCACTGTGTGTTTTAAAATCTTTTGCTGTGATAGTGTCACTGAATACCGTTTTGTTGAACTTCTATGCGCAGACGGGTTCGTTCTTTGACGGATGTTTGGTTTCTTTGCCAACAGTATTTGAATGCATGACGTTTTCCCTCCTTTGCTATCTGTCGCTTGCAACTGCATCACAGCAGTCTTGAGGCTAACAAAGCTAACGTTAGGCGCATTTGGTTAAAGTAACAGCTCCTATATATTCCAAGTGAGTTATGGCATAACGACTATCGTTACAGCTTAAAGTAAACTACTATCATTAAAGACGATAACACAAGCTCGCATTCGTGTGCCAAGCAGTATAATATCTCAATTGTAACGTTATGGACCTAAAGAGTAAGAGCAAGTTAAAGTTTACGAAACAATGAATACAATCGACTCAAAAATGTCGTAGATTGGAAAAGCAAGTATTTCAACTCTCCCTTTTCAAAGCATAACGTTTTAATTTGTCGCTTATGTGGTATTATATTGTAATAGTTGCGTTACAACAGATAAGATGTCTCTTATATATAACTGACAATGCAGAATAAAGTTAAATCGTGGATCTTGCGACTTAACACTATATTAACCTGACATTTGATGGCGCATTAAAATAACGTTAGGGAGTAAAGTTTGTGTCACACTGAGTTGTCCGCCAAAGCAAACCATGCCGATTTTTCCTACCATTATAAAAACAAAGTTATAGTCACTGCAATGTCAGCACAACAGGTTATCGCCTCTTTGGTGGGAGTTGACATCTTAATTGACAAGTTTCATTTCAAAAGGTCTGCATACCAGGTGGAGCTAAACAGCGGTTTTCAGCACAAAGGGGGGATGTCTGCGTGACTTATATTTAACACTCCACCCACGTTACAGCTCGTATCCTTTCATCAGCGCAGCCTGAGATCTGATGGGAAACTCTCACGACTCAGCCCTGACTTCCACATCCCATAACTCGGCAGGCAAGCCTGGAGAGCAGCGCAGGGACTCACTTTGGGTGTGTCACTTTGAGATGGGTTTTCACTCAGATGTTGTGGATTTACAAGATTAGATCAGTTACCAGTGGATTAGGGATTGGCTGCATATGCATGTGATTCTCCCTGCGTGTTTGTAGCAATCCTGTTGAGCCAACATCTAAATGGTCTGTTGGAGCCTTTGCTTTTTTTTTCGTGTTTCTAAAGGCTTCAGGAGATTGATGAAGAACACGTCGGATTTTATTGTACAATTGTCAATATTTACCATATTGTCAAGTTTAACATTAACATGTGGTTTCTTTGATATATGTATAATGCTCAGACGGACAGTTTAGGGTGAAAAGCACAACCTGAACAACAACCCATAACCTCAAAGCAGTTTCTACATGCTGCCTGCCATTTATTGAAGCATGGCCCTGTGTTAACCACTGGAATTTTAATTAGCAGGACTGTTGACAGGAGGCTGTTCTTAGGGTATGCTGCTAAAATTGTCACCAGTAGAGAGCTGGAGGTAAAGACCTAAATTTGCTTTGCTGAAGCCAAAGCCTGTTGTCCTGAATGTTCCAATAACTTACGGTCTTGTTAAGGGGCTACTATCAAACATTTCTTACATATTGCAATGACTCCTCTGTTTTCTTTTGCTGACACTGGTGTGGTGAGATGGAAAAGTGATTTAGAGTAATAGTAACCTCCATTTATCTCTTAATATAGATTGTTTTTTCAATGAGCTGAGTGGTGTGTAGGACATACATGTCTGACTTGCCTTTTTATTCTTTTTCAGTTGGCGGTTATTCAGATATTAGTTTATGCAGCATAGAAGAAAATTATATTTGCCCACAGAACTCAGTGGTTGTCGAGTAGTAAAACTGACCAGCTGTGAGCCCAGTAAGCTTGCATGGTTGTCCTCAAACTGGCTACTAGGGTTGGTGAACTTAAGAGCCTCAACTACAGTTTAGTTTCATGTCATTTGTGCAGTGTCTGGTGTAAAATTCCTTGCCTGGTTGGCTGCGACTTGAATGGCTGGACTCTTTCAGACAGACAGCTTTGGGTAAACCTAGCAGGGACAGACCTGTCAGCAGTTCTGCAGTAGTGTGGTGGTTTTCTAGACACTGAGCCTCCCTGGTCACTGATGTTCCATAATGCTGACCTTGCCTGGCCTACCTCATTGTGTCCAGTGGTGCACACTAGTAGGATTTTTTGTGTTAGCTAATGTAGGTTTTCCAGCCTCTCAGGATGTTTGGATGATTTTGAAATTGTTAACCAAAGATGTATGTATAAAAATACAATGCATACTTGATTGATGATTTTTAATTGTCTAATTCATACTGCTAATGATAATGAATCTAAAGCAATTCACATGAAAATCATATTCTATTGACCTTTGTCATAAATTGTCGCTTTAATCTTCTATAGGATAATATTGAACTATCTGAACAATACTGAAGCAGGAATCTTTATATCATGGACAACTAGCAGGGCAATTGGTACAAAAATAGTTTTAACCTGTAGGGTTTTTTTTGTGAAAGGATGACTTCGCTTTGCTGCACCATACATCTGCTGAGTTTTAAACATGAGCAAGCAAAACAAAATCAGAAACGCAGATTCAGTTGACTTTGTTTTTTTTCTGTGTAGTTTGAGATTCCTACGGGGGTGCTGGTCTAGACTGCGGGTAGAGCCGGTTATTATGTTGCCCTAGGGTTAAACATATTTGCAGTTACTTATTTTGAAGAGAAAATGCCTGGGGAGAGGCCAGGTCCTGTCTTTGCTCACAAGCATCTTACAGCTCATAGTGAGCTCGTCTGGAAATGCTTGCTCTAATCCTTGACACTGTGCCTTTTTTTTGAAGAACATCTGCCAAGTGCATGATAAATTTGTGCCTTAAAAAATGTTTACGCTCAAGGTACATTTATTTTATCACTCTACAACACAGGGTTTCACCATGAAATGAAAGTTGTATCTCCAGTTCACGCTACACATAAACACAACATATATTTAGAATTAGATTAAAAATGTAAATAAAAACTATATATGCAGTTACTTATATACATATGTTATACACGGTAGTGTTATGGTAATGTGCTTCATTAATTACAGGGACAGAGCAGGTTATGACTGTCAGTAATTCATAATGTGTCTCTCTTGGGAGTGGTATGACACTGTAACACTGCATTATTGTCCTGCCAATGTTACACTGTATGTAAATGCAGCAAATATGTAACTGCCAAAGCAGTGTGAGTGACAATGAGCCTACTGAGATTTGGAGATGCCACTGTAGTTGTCATTAAATCAGATTGTTGAAGTTTGAGCTCATGCTGTGCTGTACAAAAACAGAAAGTGTAGGGTGCAATTACAATGCCTGTCATTATATCAAGTTATCCTTCACTGTACTTACCAGTGGCAAATTAGGTTTGCACTGCATTGACTGATTTCTTTTAAATAATTCAACTTATTCAAATACATTTATGCCAAATATTCAATGTTGAATCATCCCGCCTGAACTGTTTGGACAAAAGTGGAAAAATCTTTTTTACAGTGATTTTGCTCGGTCCAGTAGACCTTAGTTTAGGAAGCTGTTTGAAAGAGGGTTTTTTGTACCCTTATCTTGCATCTCATTTCCTTTGTGTTTCCCTTCCTACCTATTCTTTTCTCCTGTCCTTTGACTCTCATGTGTTTGCGGTCTTAAATCTCCTGTCCCCCTTCTTTCACTTTCTCTTTACTTCTGCTCTCATTCTTTATCTCTTGTCTTTCACTTGTTCTCAGGTCAATGAAGATGCCTACTGTGAAGTATCAGAGAGGGGACATGGTGATGGGCCGCTGGCCTGGCAGCAGCCTGTATTATCAAGTGAAGGTGCTGGGCTTTGATGCCAAAAGTCAGCTTTACACTGTCATCTACAAGGATGGTACTGAGCTGGAGCTCAAGGAGCAGGACATCAAGGTAGCCCCGGAGTCACAGACTTACAACCTGTATTTCACTCTGTCTTTCCCCAGTTTCATGGGACATTTGTTTTGTGTAGTATCTTGGTGTAAATTGTTTTTTCTGTGGTTTAATTAAAATCTCAGCTATAGAGGTTGCTCATAAAGAGAGTTCTCATTTTGGTCTTCATTTCGACTTCAAGAATATTCTATTTCTTTTAATTTTATTGTTATCATTGTCAAGGCCATATGGCTGAAATGTAGCTGCTGTGTAGGAAGACTACACAGACTGATATAAGGCTGCCCAGTGTGGGAACACTCAAATAAAAAAAAACTGTCTTAACTGGTTAATGATCTGGAGGAATTCACTTTTCATGACCCTGCTGTGTTTCAGCATCATGTGGACTCACTGTAATATACCCAAGATGAGGTAGTCTTCTTATTAATATGTTTTCTGTTTCACCTATAAAAGCAAGGTACAATTGTTAAATAATCTCCTCTTTTGTTTGACTTTGTGTTTTTCCTCAGAGTGCTGCTGGTTTCCAGAGCCGTGCCCGCTCCCGCTCCCGTTCTCGATCACCAGGCCGCCGTCGCAGCCGGTCACGCTCTCCAGCGAGGACCACACGGCGCTCGTCCTCCCGCACAGCGGCAGCAGTGGCAGCTGCAGCAATAACAGAGAGCGCACCGTCTTCCCGCAGGGATTCAGACTTGAAGGATGCGGTAGAAGTCAGGCTCAGTCCCCTGGTAAAAGCCACAGCTGCCTTCTCATTTTCTTGTCGTAGCACTGATGTTGGAGGTGATTTACAGAAAGATAGGTTGGATGATATCACCAGAAATAGTGTGTATATATGCAAGTCATAAAATCCTTGCAGTAAATAAATACATAAGAAATACTGTACAATATAGTAATACTGTTTATCTCAAATACTTACACAGGGCTCGACAATAACGATGGGGGCCAGTAAAACGTAACATTGGGACAGTTGAACTAGCAACTCACTGGCCCGGGCAAAAACATTAGTTATTTTTTGTTTTTGTTTTTTTTAAATTAAACTCACATCCTGCAGTTGTTCTGGAGCTCTTGGCGCGCACCGATGTCCAATCCAGAGTTGTAGTTACGTGACGAGAGGTTTTCAAATGTTATTTCTCTAATCTCAATCATGCGGCAACCTCTGGGTCGAAAGTGAAACCATGCAGACGGAACTTAAAGCTGCATGCTCTCTAACGGCCAGCAGGGGGCGAGTTCCATTGGAAATAATGGTAAAATGTTGCTACTTCTCAGCTGATTTATTACCTCAGTAAACATTTTTATATGAGTTTGTAGTCTCAGTCGCTAGTTTCAAGTCTTCTTCAACACAGCATGTTCATTTAGTATATTATGGTCCTATTTAGGGAAAAATAGACAATAATGCAGCGTATGCTTTTGGACGGGACTACCTTGTGATTGACAGGTTGCTACCATGGCAACCTGTTCATCATGATAGGTGCGACTTGTGTCCGCTGCTCCGTGTACATTTTTCATAAATGGCTGTCAGCAGGCAAGCACATCATGTTTGAGTCTGTTAGTATGTTTTGTTTTAAAAGTAAATTGTTTTGTTTACCTTTTTATTTTTTATAGTTTTAACTATGATTACATTTTTGTTTAGTTTTTTTATATCCAGGATGTATTTAATAAACGATTAAACACTTTTGGAAGGAGGGACAGTAAAAATTGTCTTCAGGCCAGTAAGTTTCAAGCCAGGTGGGGCCAGTTGCTAAAAAGTTTAATGTTTAGCCCTGTTACAGTACATGACTGTGTTGTATTCAGATATAGAGTCACTATCAACTCACTTTACTTAGTTTATTCAATTTTATTTATTTATTTATTTTTTGAATGACTGCTCGTGCTATACAGTAACATGGCCTGGATAACTGCCGAGTTGCCTTGTCAAAATTGGCATACAACGCAGAATTGGAACTGAGAAATGTACAGTAGCAGCAAAGTCATTAATCAAAAGACACCAAAGACCAAGCCTCCCACTAATTCAGTTGTTTCCTTCCTGGAGCTGACGGTCTCTGTTGCAGAGCACATTTCATTTCAAGAAAGTGCCTTGAAGCTGGAAGAAGGGGTTCCATGTTTGCTTCCTGTGACAGTGACATAATTATACAGTATATTGCGTGGGTTGTAGGCTGAGTATTGTCATTTGGTCATGACTGTGCTAGGGCTTAACAATAAATTGAAATTTTATCGAAATCGCAATATGGTTACTGCAAATTTCAAATCGCATATAGCGCAATATTTGTTAATGGTGAAAAGTGTTGGAAAATACCATTTAAAATGAAATACTGTCGTGCTGCAGAGATGTCCCGGCCTACACATCATATTCTACAGGCCTAAGAAAACATCTTTGTTTGGTACCATTCCCCTCAAAAAACCAATTGCCCAATGGGGAAAAATAAAATTATAAGTAAAATCACGCCATAACCATTTTAATTTTTTTCAATGAAAATGATAAAAATGATGTGACATTTATAATTCCCAACAATATCGCAAATCACATCACAATTGCAGTCAATACTTGCAATTATATATATATTTTAAATTGTTCCGCCCTACTCTGGTCTATCAAGTTCAGTAATTTCCACTCAGCACACACAGATATAGTTTGTGTAGTAGTGGTGATATGAGATCATGTGCACCGTAACATGAAACACAGTCTTGGATACAGCAGTCAGTGCAATAGGGCACTGACACAAATAGTACCCATAATCCTGAGGACAGCAAAGACTATCCTTGTGGCATTTTGATAATTAAACACACAAAGTAATAGTTTGGTAAGATTCAGTCCATCGTCAAATGTCCTAAATCATCAGAACTATGTCACTTTCTGTCTGTTTGTTATTCTGGATTTTGACCATAACACTGTCACGTTCCCTCTGCCTTTTCCTCACGTTGCTTTTTTCCCCCTTTTTGTCTCTCCATCTCCATCAATCTCCCTCCATTGTTTGATGGGCAGCAACAGACAAAGGCAGCAGAGAACAATAGCAACAATAAGCCTGAAAAGAAAGAGGAGAAACAAAAAGAGGACAATAACACTGCTAACAAAGTAAATGAGGTGAGTTTGATCTTGTAATTAAAAAAATGTTCATCTGTGTGGAAAACATTGATTTATGGAAAGGTCCATATTTCCTGAAATGAAAACTTCAACAATTAATTACGAGAAGACGGTCCGTTGTCCGTCTCCTCTCAGTACACACATGAACATGAAGGACACCGATCACATCATGTCGTTGGACTGTTGCTCTAGAAAACATTAATTCCACTTTTTATTCACATGCTTTTCTATTGTTATTTCTCTTTTACTTTGAAATTAGTTTGTCAGTATTGCCAAACAACCCAACTGATATTCCAGGCGCTACTTGCTTTCTAATAGTGAATGGGCTTTGAGGTAAGTTAGAGCTTATGGAATGTCATGATGCATGCACGTTGGGGGGGACTGTGTGTTTTCCAGGTGAGAGAGGCTCCCTTCACAAGATTGTGCTTCATTTAGCCAGTCACATGGTGTACCAACATGTGCCTTGTCTTCACTGCATTTAAAATGTTCTGCTTGGCAGGGCAATGTGTGGAAAAGTAGACATCTGTGATTCATAAAGGAGTTAAGATTTTAAAGAAAAATTCAATAGTTCACATCATTTTAGTTCTTTGTTTTGCTAGCTTTGTTGTTTTGTTTCTGTCTCAATCAGATCCCTGAGTAGGACTGTAGACCCGAGACCAGCTAGCCTCTAAAGTCATTGTTTGTCTGTATGGTTATGTGACCCAATCATTAATCCTAGGAAGGTATACCTTCTGTAAGAAGATTTGAGAAAAAGCTAGAGCTCAGACATAGCTTAAAGGTGTTTTTTGTTGTTAACACGGAAAGTAAAGTTACTTCATGCACAGATTGAAATTTACAAATGAGTCCAGGAGCAGGGTGTGACTTACAAAAAGTTTCACTAACTAATATATCCAAAAGGGCTGTTCATTCATTCATTCATTCATTCCGTTTCGTCCTTGTGTGACAAACCTCCTTGCCAATCACAAGCGCCATGCTTCTCCTATGTCTCCTACTCACCAGTCAGAGGCCTGTTTCAGAAAGCGGGTTTAGTGAAAACTCTGAGCAAGTTGAGCCCGAGATGAGGGAAACTCTGGGTTTTCGCTTTCAGAGAGCGAGATCAGATAAACTTTAGGTCTGTAACCCCGGCAACTTACGCTGTGAACCTACCCTGGTCGGGAGGAGGTTTACTTCAACTAACGCTGAGTTTCTCTCTGACTCCTCCCCTCCTGCGGAGCCTGAAGCGGCCATCTGCATTTCCTCATTCAGACTTACGATATCAAAGCACATACTGGAACGCAGTTCTGTCTTTAGAAACATAGAAATCACAGTTAAATGGGCTATTGTTTTGTTTTACCCGAACATGATCTTGAACATGGCCGCTTTTATGATCATGGACAGAGAGTTATCTTTGGACATCGTAAATTTATCCTCAGCACAGAATCAAATCTATAAGCTACACTGTCCTTTGTAACACAGTGACTCTGTGGACATTAAGGCAGCTGTCAGGTTGGCAACAGTTGCACAAAAACACTTACCATGCGCTAAAGTGCTGCAGTATACTGTTTAAACTGATCTGTATAAAACTGATCAATGAACAGTAGCCTTTCATCTTGTAGTCGCACAGACTGAACATTCCTATGGTAGTTATCAGCTGGATATGATGTGAATATTTCTGAGTGAGGATGACTGTGGTGCAGCTGAAACAAATACAAGTGAGTTTTTCATTATCTGCTGATAAAAAGTCTGAATGTGTGTTGACAGCATTTCATAAAATACAAAATGAGAAAGATTTTATTATTGTAACATAGACGTCTAAAACTTCAGTCAGTTTGGACCTAGACACATTTTACATTGCAAAAAAATCATTAATAGCCATAGGCCTACTGAGTCTGACTGGCTTTACAATCACAGGTCTAATCTGTTTGATTAATATTTTCACCGTCAGTTATTGCCACCACATTTAGTCCCGTCAGGTTACAGCTGAATAAACAGGCCTGTAGCTATTTAAAATGAATAACAGGCTGTAGGAGAATCCCAGCACTTTATCATTCATTAAGGAAATTCCAGTCTGGTAAATGATGAATGAGCAACGCTGTATAAAATGTAATATTAACGTATCAATCCTTCCTCCACTCCTGCGTTTTAGAGCCAATCATGGTCCGCGTTGGCACACATTCATATTTCTAGCTCCACCCGATTAAAATGTAGGCTCTGCCTATTTACCCGTTGCCATGGTGAATCGTAGTATTGGAGCTCCATTGATGATGGCTTTTTTTTTTATCACCATGCACGCGCTTCCATCTGGCTCAACATACTCAGAGTTGACCGAACTAATTTTAAACACCTGTTCTGAAACTGGACACTCTCTAAGTTTGACAGCTCGGAGTTTGGTTTACACTCAGTTTGTTGAACCTGCTTTCTGAAACAGGGCCAAGAGCTGGCACAGGGTGTGCACATTGTACAACAACAAACTAAACTAGAGGAAAACATGTGGGAAAATGGCGTCAGGCAAACCAACACAGATAGCAGCTGTGCAGCGGTTTTGTCCGGCGTCAACTCATCCAATCCAATCCATTTTATTTATATAGCACATTTATAGAAAACAAAGATTTACAAAGTGCTGAACAAGAAATAAAACATAAAAACACATATAAAACACGTAGAAACACATAAAACAACCAGACTACACAGCTCTCATGCTGGGTTAAAAGCCAGGGAATACAAGTGGGTTTTAAGACGGGATTTAAAACGGGGCCAATTTCACCTGTGGAGGTAGCTCATTCCACATTTTAGGGGCTGCTGCTGAAAATGCACGGTCGCCCCTGGTTTTTGGAGCGACCAGTCGAGGTTGGTCAGTAGACCTAAGTGACCGTGTAAGAGGTCTGAGATGTAGTGAGGTGCCAACCCATTCAGTGACTTAAAAACAAACAATAAGTTCTTAAAATTTATTCTAAAATGGACCAGGGAGCCAGTGGAGCGAGGCCAGCACTGGTGTAATGTGTTCATGCTTGCAAGTTCCAGTTAAGACGAGTGGCCGAGTTTTGTACTACCTGTAAGTGTGAGAGAGAGGTTTGGTTAACACCAATGTAAAGTGCATTACAGTAGTCCAGACGAGTTGAGATAATAGCATGAATCACATGTTCAAAGTGCTTACAAGATAAAACAGGATTTAACAATAATATTTATCTGTTTATTAAGTAGTTTTTATTTATTTATTTATTTATTTATTTTTGTCTGTCCTGCCCAGCAGCCTGGTATAGAGTATGATGAGCTGGATACCATATTGTGCCAGATAGATTTTACTTTAACAAGAGACTATTAATATACTTCTTTGTCTGTTTTATTATTTATTTAATTATGTATTGATTTGTCACCGGGCCTGACAGGGGGCAGATGTGGGGATGAGGGGGCACAAACAGACAGCACAGAGTACACTTGTAAGAGAAGGGGGAAAGGGGGATGGAAGGTGGGGGACAACAGGGAATAGCAGAGGGAAACACCAATTGCAGAAAGCAACGAAACCTGCAATAGAACAGAGAGGGGGTTTGGGATGGAGAAAAACAACAACAAACAAACAATAAAAGTAAAAGACAACCAGCCGAACAGCAGCAATAAACAGCTGACATAGTATGACAACTAAGAGAAAAATGAAAACAAGAAACAGTCAAGCACACTAAATAAGCAACACAGCACAGCCATGAGAGCTGGAATAATAACAATTAATTTAAAGTAACTGAAAGAAAAGCATCAGGAATAGTTCTTCCACGGACAACCTAAATTTGTGTGTCTGTGTGTGTGTGCGCATAAGCCTGTTAAAGAATGTAGTTGTTAGTGAGAGTGGGAGGCCACGACTGTGCCACACCTACCCCAGCAACAGGCAGGCAAGAACCCCAGTAGCCAATAGGGGAGGGAGAAAGAAAAATAATAATAAATAAAAACGACCATCTAAATGCCAGTTGACAACGCAATGCCGACGGAACGCAAGAAATGTAACCCGCGGAAGAGCAGCGCCTGGACCAACCGCGGCACGCACACAACATAGAGCAGTGCTCCCCCCACCCAACACCCCCCCGCCGCGCAGCGAACAACCAAAACGCCCAAATGCTACACAAACATCAACATCAATGCACAAGTGACGAGCCCAACGCGCACACTGTGCGAGCACGGCGACACCCAATGCCCGGCAGCCTCCTGCGAGTCCCGCGTGCGAGGTCGGGCAAACGAGAGAGAGCGAGCGGAACAACACGACAGCGAAAGCCAGCGGAATGAAACACCAGCAGCAAGTCCCAGCCCGGCAGCAAACGTGCCGCGCCAATAAAAGTCCACCGTCCCCCCAACCGCCGGAAAAACTAAGGCCGCCCGCGCCAGCCAACATCCCCCATGCACAGCACGCCCCCAGGCCACCGTGCAACACCAGCAAAACGAGGCAAAATCAACCAGCTCAGCTCAGAGGGGTCCATCAACTGGCCGACAGAGAAATGGGGAAGCATGGATCTGAGGCCAACAAAGCAAACCAGGGACACAAACTGGTCCCTCCAAGCCAACGAGGAAATGCCTCCCCCGGACTCCAATGCACAAACTAAACGCCCAGCAGCCATCCAGAGACCCTGCACAGGGAAAAAGCACAATGTAAATGCTCCGTACTTATATAGTGCCTTTCTAGTCTTTTCGAACACTACATCTGCATTCACCATTCACACACTGAGCCTAAGTGCTCAAACAGAAACTGACATTCATACACTAGCGGAACAGCCACCAGGGGCAATTCGGGGTTCAGTATCTTGCCCAAGGACACTTCGACATGCAGCCTGGGGGAGCCGGGATTGAACCGCCAACCTTCCGATTAACGGCCAACCCGCTCTACCGCCGGAGCACCACAACCTACCCCGATAACACCGGCCATGTGCCCCAGAGACTCCCAAATGCCCCCACTGTGAGAGAGCTGGCAGGGGGAAGCAGCGGGAGCCCCACCCCTGCCGAAGAGGGCCCAGGCGAGGAGAGGAGACAACGGGCCCCCAGGCCCAGGGACACACCACCTGCCCAGAAATGAGCAAAAGCCAGAAGCCCAAGTCCCCAAATCCCTAGGTCCAGAGCGGCCCCCCAAGCCAGGGGAGCCACGCCCACCCCAGATCAGGCAAGGCCGTCACCAACCCCAAGGCACCCCCGACGCCCCGGGGATTCACGGGCAGGACACTGGGCCATTGAGAATCCCACCCACTCCTTCAACACCTCTGCCTGCCTCTGTAAATATATTGTTTTGTGTTGGATGCATCACACCAACACAGTGCTCTAGACGAGAGATAAGAACCGTGTGGTCAACTGTGTCAAATGCGGTAGTGAGGTCTAAAAGCACTAGTATTGCAGAATTAACAGAGTCGGTGGTAAATAAGAGGTCATTAAAAACTCTTAAAAGTGCTGTTTCAGTGCTGCTAAATGCTTTAAAACCAGATTGAAAAATCTCAAAAATACCATGTACATCTTAAAAAGACTGCAGCTGTAGAAGTACAGTCTGTAGTTGGATAAAATCGAGGAATCCAGATTTCTTTTTTTTAATCTGGGGTTCCAAAACTGCTTCTTTGAAATATGTTGGAACGACACCTGCTGCCACACTACTATTTATGATTTTTGGGACATTCGGGCCAATATTCTCCCAGGCTTCCTTAAAGAGGCGAGGGGGCACAGTGTCAGTGGGACAGCTTTGGCAATTTTCTGATATTTTCTCAGTCTTTAAGGACTTCATATGATACCTTGAGCTTGTCCTTTTTCCACCTATGCTCAGCTCTCCTGCACACTCGCCTGGCCTCATGGGTGGCGTCATTGAGCCATGGCTCAGATTTAAATCTGAGACACCTAACTTTTTGCGGTGCAACAATATTAAGAATATCGGCACATGTGGAAAGGAAGGAAGAAAGTAATTGCTCTGTGTCAAGGTTAGCCAGATAGCTATTACCAGACATTACATTAATAAAAGCACAAGTAAACATAAACACACCTACGAGCAGCCAGCCATGGTGTAAACAGTGAAGTGATGGTAACTCCAAATTACTTGAGCGAATGACAGCTACACTCGTTACTTTAGGCATGTTCAACAAAACCTTTGTGAAAGTGATAGTGAACAAGTGATATTTAAATCTGCTCTGTCAACAGTCTCTCATCCTCTGTGTTTCACACAAGCATAGCATGCTAGCTCTGCTAATAGCACAATGTTATAAACAAGCTAAAACCAAAGATGTCTGTCTGTACTGTCTAACTGTTTCTCTTAGTTTGCCTTGTATCTTAAAATTCAGCACATTGTTGTAAATGGAGCTGCTGGAGTGAATCTGTCTGGAATAATATGATTTATTTTTTTTACATTTTAGATTAGTTTCCACTGAGATATTATTGCTCGACTTGTTTAAAGTTGCTGCTCTAGGAACAAAGTTAGTTGTATTGAAAATGTTCACTTCTAATTCTTTTCTGAAATTAAAGACAACCAGGCAGCCACTATGCACATTTCAGTATTTGTTTATTTATCACAAGTCATACCATCATTGCAATACAATATGTCAATGCAATATACAAACAATGTTATAGCAGATTTTTCTCCTATCACTCAGGTCAACTGCCATAGTACAGTATATCCTTGCATTCAGCTGCACTTGAGTTCAGTCTTTTCTGTCCATCCATGTGTTTTATTGAGAACAAACCAAACACAAGAATCCAATTTTAGGGAACATTTCTATTAATATGTGAATCATGTTTTTTGTTGTTGTTTTTTTTTGTGCTTTATACTACTGTAATTTATTGACATAATTTCTGGTCTCAGAATTTCATCGGTTAAGTTCCTGTAGACAAAACATTACATTTGAAACACTGGTTTTATGTAAAAAAACTTGATGGTGGTGTAAAATTTATATGTTTTATTAATCCACAATCCGAAATGTTTTTTAATAGTCCGAGGCTACGGTAGAGGCAGAACCTGAGAAGAACCAAGGCCGTTACAATCTGCGCCGCAGAAAGGACGATGGAGATGCCAAAGCTGTTGAGGCCAAACCAGAGAAGCTGGAAGAGAAGAATGCCAAGCTGGCAGCAGCTCCTGCTGTCTCCCTCTCCACCCCACTTGACTTTGGAGGGAAGATGGGTAGGTTATAAGATGGATGGGAAATGTAGTTTCATGTCAATATGCGGATATTAGCCTGAGAAAGATTTTTAAAGTGTTCCACACGCAGACCGATTACATCCTTGTACGACCCCAGTGCTAGGCCACAAAATTATATTTAGTCACACTTTATTTGATGACAATATGTTACTTTATTGATTCTTCTTGTTTGAGGCTGTGTTTTGTGTTGTGTTGCATCTCTGACACAGTGTAAACAATTAAAAATGACACATCAATAAACACAATCATAGCACAGCCCAGTGTTTCCCACGTACTTTACTGGGGCCATCCGAGTATATCTGGCGACCCATTCCAGCATTTTGCAGAGAAACACAGAGAAGAGATGTTATCTATTAAGGTAGAAGTTGCGGACAAGTTGGATACGGCCCGGGTAAAGCAACAGTGAACACACCTGTGCAGATGTCATTTGTTAGCTACCACGTTGGTTTCCTTTTCCTAGGCTAGGTCATTAACAAGCCTCCACCACATGTGGGGCACCTGCTGCTGTGAAGGGAATCGCGGGTGGAAAAATTCAACAGAACAGACTGATACATGTAGAAAGAGACCGACAGAGGTGGGGCAAGCTGCTGAGTTTGCAGCAGGGGTGTGTGACTGTGGGGAAAAGAGAACTGGGGCCTGTTCCACGGAGCGAGTTCAACATACCCAGGATATCTTTTCCTTATCTGGCTTCACTAACCCTAACAATAACAATCGGGATACGCGGTTACATGAAGCTGGTGGAACAAAAATGTGCTTGAAAGTTTGAGGAGTTGAGGAGCTCCGCAAGTGGCGGCGGGGGAAGCCCGCAGCAACCCGCGGGAGGAGCTTCCGAGGCCAACCATCTGCCCGCTCACAGAGCCCTCTGCTCCCGCCGTCACACAGACTGCTGCATCAACAACAGCAGAGGAAAACCGCTTATTCATACCGCTTATCTGTCTTTACATTCTAAGAAATGTTGAAACATTTAAGCTAAAATCAAGTGAAAGCTGTGTAGATCGCTGGTGTGTGTCGCATTGAATATTACGTCGCAGCAGTTGTGTGTGACGTTGCTATGACGACCAGCTACATTAAGGGGTACTATCTCTGGGTATTTTCTGCAATGGAAAATGGAGCACGGCCAAACCGAGGCGAGTTGAGTCAACCCAGGGTTTCCCAGTCCTGCCGTGAGCGCATTCACACAAAAGAGGGGGTGTTAGTAGCAGATGACCAATCACAGACATGACAGTCCACTGGCATCAGAGCGTCATATTTTACATACGAAGAGCAAACTGTAACACTACAGAAATACGACATGGTCTAAGTAGCACTGCTGCAGCTGACACATGCAGGGAGACAGAAAATCGCTGACAGTGTGAATGCCTAAATGAGCAGGTGTAGTCCATAATAATGTGTTGATTTGATGTGTTCTTATGGCGTCTATGAAAACATTAGCCTTATTCTGTCAGCTTGGCTGTGTCTCGGCATTTCCAAATTAAAAGACTCAGGCACTGAATAACCTAAGTGGTCGTTCCACCTCACTTTTAAGAACTTCTCATCACTTCAAAAATGAGATTAATTTATTTAACACACTCAAAAGTGTTCCAAACATTGTTCTAAAATAACTTCATAAAGTAATGAAACGAAAAATCCATTCATGCCATAAAATGTGCTCAAATAGTGTTTGAAAGACTGAATCTCAACATTTAGGCTCCAGAGCAGGTTAGCCGCTGAGCATAAGTTACCATGGCGATCTACCCCGTTAAGAAGTGAACCATTGTCGTGATACTGAAAACCCAGGGGTAGCCCCGATGTTAGGCTATGCTGAAAGGAAAGAGAGCTCATTAAGTTAGTGAGGAAACAGTAAAATAAGATGGAGAATGAAGTACACTTCAAATGGTGAAATAAGCTACTAGAAATAGAAAACATACCCCGCTAAGGTGGTGCACAGCCTGTCAGGATCCTAGCAGGTGAAAACAGACTATACCATAAACCTGTGGTTTTCACAGTATGTTGTTCCATTCTGTGCTAACATGAGTTATGCACAGCTTTTATGTTTACTAAAAGAATGGAACACTGCCAGCGTAGATGCAACTGCACGACTTGCCTCGGACAAAACTTTCCCTACCTCACAGATGCCTCAGCTATGTGACTCCCATGCATGTTGAGGAGCATAACAGGTTTTCAGTGTAAAACCAGTCACTTTAGTATGTGTGTGTGTGTGCATGGTTGGTGGTGGTGTTTAGCTACACATGCAGAACGGCTGTTGCAAACTGAACCTGATCAAATTGACGACAATAGTATCCCCTGTGTGTTTTCTCCTTCCTCCAGGAGCATACTTCTGGCTTCTCTTCCTGCCAGCCTGGGTTCTCTTCCTGGTACTCCAAGTCAAACTGGAGGACCCCAGCCTGGCCAACTTCCCTCCTCCTCTGCCCCCTCTTGAAGCCTTCTGGGATTCCCAGGCTCTTGGCTTTGTCATCCTGTGGATCTTATTCCAGGCCCTGCTGTACATCCTGCCAGTTGGAAGGGTAACTGACAACTTAGCTGAGAACTGTACAAACAAGAAAATGTGATGTCATTTGACGAAGAAAGTTTTTAGACCATTGCATTTTATATATAATTTTAAAAAACACAGCTGTTTTCTCCTTCACATTATTGTGAGTGACCGCACACTGTGTGCCATTAAAAATAATAATCACAAAATAACATTGATAAAACACGGATTATAGTGAAGGGATTTGAACTGTGATTTTAACCCACTTCAGACTGTGGAAGCTGCCCAGCTTTCTGTAATCACTGGTAGAGGAAAGACACGTGAAGCGGCACATGACTTTTTCAGTTTGTTAGCTCTGGCAGGAGGCAGAAATTGGATTAATGGTCAGGAGTCACAGTTAATGAGATGCTCCACGGGAAAATGGAAGCTCTTGATCTTTCTGTCCTGGATCACCTCTGCCTCTTGAGTCGTTCACTAACTGCGATTACTCTCTGATCACCGGAATGATAAACCTTTATAAACATATTACATTTTTGTGTTCAGTATTTCAGTCTAAGAAGTAGCGTGTTTTTCAAATGTAGATGAATCTTCAGTGTCCTATTCTGCTTCAAAACAGATGTTTACAGACAGATGTTTACAATCAAAGTCTTACTTGGCATCTGGACTGAAATGAAGAGCAGCAAACTTCTGAACAGACTCTCTCTGGCTCCCCTCAGACTAGCATGCATGTGTTTGCTTGTGAGTGAGTGACTCTCACTCCCACCGTGACTGAACATGTACTCTCGGTCAATTATTAATCCCAATATCGCCTCTTTTCTCTCTAGCTGAGCGAGGGCATGCCACTGAGGTCTGGGGAGAAGCTGCAGTACAGAACAAATGGTGAGACTGTGAAGTGAGCGTTCTGTATCCAGCTCCCACTGCCAGACAATTCCATTACAATCATCATACATCAGTTTGCTTCAGCATATTTATCTTTCAACTTCCTTTTTTATATTTTTAATTGCGTTCTGTCTTCCACATTCTGTCTTTCTTCTGTCCATGTGTATTTAAACCGCTCTGTATCCCTCTAGGTTTCTTTGCCATTGTGGTGAGTTCTGTAGCTGTAGCGGCAGCGGTGCACCAGGGCATTGACCTCACCTACATCCACAGCCACTTCCTGCAGCTGGCTGTGGCCTCCTTCCTCATCTCTGTCCTGCTCAGTGTCTACCTGTATATGCGCTCCCGCTACGCTGCCCCAGAGCAGCTGGCACTTGGGGGAAACTCTGGTAAGGGAAAGATTTAGAGTTACCTACTGACTGATTACATACATCGTGTTGTGCCTCTTTTATTCTTTATTTTGACTCTTGTCTGCTCCCTTTCTTTCTCCAGGCAATGTGGGTTATGACTTTTTCAAAGGACGTGAGCTCAATCCCCGCATCAGAGACTTTGATTTGAAATTCTTCTGTGAGATGCGCCCTGGTTTGATTGGCTGGGTGAGTTGTCATGGGACACCAAACCAAACCTTTGTCTCAAAAATGCATTAAGTGAGCACACAAAGTAAGAAGATGTTTATTATTATAAGCAAAACAGGCCTCTTGGTATTTTGTAGCCAGGAACATGCGTCCTTGTGTCTTGATTTTAAAAACATTTCTGTCAGCTAATTGTAGCTGATGAAACACTTCACAGATTGCACTCTCTGGTGGCCATATGTGGAAGTGGTTTTTAACCTCAGATGTGGCATGAACTCAGTGAACGCTTTGTGGCTACGAGGTTAATGCAGACTTTGATGTTATAGCATTAAAGATCCTCCCTGTGTTTGGAGATGTTCAGATAATCACTGAAGACTTTGTTGTTAGGTTGTCAATCCTTAAACATAAGCAGGTGTTAAATGCCGCTTCCAGTCATTTGTTCCTTCAAAACCTTGAATGAAAGTTGGCAGGTATCTTCACAAATGTCTGTACAACATTCCGGATGATGAGGAAACCTTCATAATATCTGTCTCTCATTGTTCAGTGTTTTATCAACTTTGCAATGGCCCTGGCTGAGATGAAGCGGCAGAGTCTGGATGCTCCCTCTTACTCCATGATCCTTGTGAACCTCTTCCAGCTTCTCTACGTCATGGACGGCCTCTGGAATGAGGTGCGCTTAGCAAAGCACAAGAGAGAATGTGCTGTAACATTTTCTCAGAAATGTCACTCAAAGGGAATAAAAAAAACAAAACACTTTGATAAATAAAGAAAATAATTACATATAGGGATGCACCAAATGTTGGGCAACCGAAATCAAGCTTTTATAGATCCACTGAAACGGACCAGTGTGAGACAAGACATGTGACAACGTCCGGGTTTTCAAAATAAGGTGTCTATACAGGATGGAAATAAGATTAATTGGATTATATTCACAGAAAGTATACAACATATTACATGTGTCCATTAAGAGTAAATGGACACATGTAATTGACTTTACCAGACCCCCCCACCATAGTCTCTCCAAATCCTATGGGAAACACTGAGTAAAAAGCACATTTTGACTATTTAATTTATGCAGTAGTTTTTTTTTTAAAAAAAAGGCAAAATAAATGGAAAAGAATGTAAAATACCTTGTTCAGTATTCGGGGGTTTTCATCATATCCTGTTTCGACTTCGGCCAAGAATTTTCATTTCGGTGCATCCCTAATTACATACATGGTCAAGTAAAAAACTTCTAAACCAATCTTCTGACCAAATGAGTAATGACTGAATGTGTCTCTTTGTCTCCTCAGGAGGCCATTCTGACCACCATGGACTTGATGCACGATGGTTTTGGCTTCATGTTGGCTTTTGGGGATCTGGTGTGGGTGCCCTTTACTTACACCCTGCAGGCCTATTACCTGGTCAGCCACCCCAACCCCCTGAGTCTCCCTGCCCTCGCAGCCATCATCACACTCAAACGTAAGTAGGATCAGGGCATCAAACTAAAGTCAATGATCATCTCCATTGCAGGTTTGGATTGTTGATTATTGATTACATAACTGTATATGTTGTATGTTCCAAAAGGGATGAAATTTCAGTGGGTGTTGTATTTTCTCAGTTTCTAAAGTTGGGGTTGTTGTTGACGTTTTCTCCTGGCCTCTCTGTCTTTCAGTCGTTGGCTTCTACATCTTCAGGAAATCCAACTCTGAGAAGAACGCCTTCAGAAGAAACCCGTCAGACCCCAAACTGTGTCGTAAGTTCCCCTGCAGGCTTAAGGCTAATTATCTCATGGTTGTGTTATGAGATAACTTCCCCCTTACACATTCCCTTAATGCCTTGCAAGGAAAGGTTACTGAGGCAGAAGAACAGCCAGTAGAGTTACTGATGTTTGAGCTCTCTAGTTATCTCCATGCCAGAGTTACAGTATTTCTGACTTAGTGGTGAAAAGCACATATATGATGATGTTTTTAAAGAATAACACTATTAAATGCTGGAAGTACACTAGATGTAGTGTTTATTGTGTTTGATCAATAAGACAAGTTGTCAACAAATTAAACTTTAAAAAAGTACTTTTCTGTACCTCTCTTTTTGTATTTTTCTGTTCTCCAGATCTGAAGACTATTCCCACAGCTACAGGGAAGAGTCTGCTGGTGTCCGGCTGGTGGGGTGTGGTCCGCCACCCTAACTACCTGGGAGACCTTATCATGGCTCTGGCCTGGTCCCTACCCTGCGGTGAGTTGGCATCACATTTTCCCCACACACAATCAAACACCAGGGTCATCCTTCTGTTTAATGCCTCTTGCTGACTACCGATTGCCGTGCTGTTCACACTACACAACTCACCGTCTTGTGACGGGAGTCTTGAAGTCGTTGTGGTGTTCACACTACATGACGGTGACAGGGGGTCACACACTACACGAGCTGAGAGCAGCTGTGTCACCCGACGCCGGTCTCCAAACCACGTTTTGTCAAGAAAACACGTGAAATATGAAACATGAAATGACGCGAACCTACAGACAAAACAGCTGTTGTTTGTTATTATAGAGATAGAAATTATAAAGACAAAGAATCTGGGTGAAAGAATGCATTAGCACATGCAGGTAGCAGGAATTGTCTGAGCTACAGAGAGTTGGAGGGGAGGAAAAAGTGTCTTGCAATAAAAAAGTAGCTGCCTGCTCTCACTGGCTGGATGTGGATGTCAAGTCAGCCGACTCCAGATATCTGACATGCTAGATATCCGGCAGACGTCGGCGATGTGTCGGTGAGCTGTTTTGATGTGTTGTTGTGTAGTTCAAACATAACGACTAGTGACCGCTGATTTACTCCCAATCACAGCCTGACAGTCGCAGAGCGGCAAATCGGGCTAAAAATTGTTTAATGTGAACCAGGCTTAAGTGAACAGCATGCCAGAGGACTGAAAAAGCACTTGAGCACTTTCCATGTGGAAACATGATGTGATAAAGAACAACAGTCACATGTGTCAGTGTGTAAGGGGCTGGTAGAAACATCATAGTTTCTCTTGAGCACCAGTTTGTGGGGGGCACGAGAAATGTGAATTTGAGAGGTTATGTCATTTTTGAGTAATTGTTTTTATTTAGAATCACAGTGATCCTCACAACAACCCCACTTGAGCTAATATAGTAAGAACATACACCACAAAATAAAGAAGAACAAAGTGTTTTGCAGATTGTCTGTACTTGTACTACTTGTGTTTAGGTGTGTTTTTTAAGGTTGCATTCAGTAGCTGAAATAAGAGCAGACAGAGAAACTCCACACTAGGTCACGTGGAGGAAGAGCCTTCTGGTAATGGCACCTAGGGGTTGAAATGTAGCGGTCTCACCATCACAATGGCAAATCATGTCGTGAAATATTTTCTGTAGCTTGTGTTACAAGGCAACATGTAGCCAAACATCTGGTGACAGAAAAGGTTGTGTGGTTATTCTGCAACAGCTTGGTGCTGGTGCCATGAACCTGAATCAAGGAATGCAATGCATTTGGTGTGTGATGGTGCTTTGACAGTGTGTTAAACTCAAACTCAAATTGGCGACTTTAGAACAGCAACTGTTGCCTTCAGACGGCTGGAGATGTGTGTGGGTTGAAACTGGTGTGACATTGTTTTGTTTAAACTGATAAATTAAGATTAAATAGTTTTTTTCTTATCCGTCCTCTCTGCCTGTTTACCATCCACATCTGCAGGCTTCAGCCACCTCTTGCCGTGGTACTACATGATCTATTTCATCATTCTGCTCGTGCACCGAGACTCTCGAGACATGAGCGAGTGCAGGAGGAAGTACGGCTCGGCGTGGGACGAGTACTGCCGAACTGTTCGCTACCGGATCATCCCCCGTGTCTACTGAGGAACCAGTCGCTGGACACTGCCCAGCTGAGGCCGCTTTGACCCAATATTATAGCTGTGACAGCTCACCAAAAAAAAATCCACATATGAATGGATTGACTGACTGATTAGATTTTTTGCTTTGTTTTTTGTTGTTTTTAAACCAAGAACTTTTTAAATCCTGATTCTGGACTGAAGGCGCTATAGTGCTTAGAATTTTCTCATTGGTATTATGGACTATTTGAAGAATTGCCTTTTTAATAGAAAATACTCAAAAATAAATACTTTTAAAAGTTTACAAAATAGGGGGGATGCCTCTGCTAGGAATGTCTTGTTTGGATGTATATTTTTGTATATACACATTTGTTTTTATACTTACAGAACAACTCGCCACTTGCATATTTTTTGGTAAGTTTTACTCTTTACTCCATATTCAAAATGTTACAATATCAGCTTGGCTATTATGAAGAATTTTGTAAGTATACCTTCCTACTATAATTAAACTGCTTGTGTATATTGTGAAGGGTGGGATTAAAAATGCTACTTACTTTTTAAATTAGCTGTACAGTGGAACTAGGACTCATGTTCTTTCTCAGGACCCGGGATATTGTCAGAAAGTTGAATTAGACATGTTTTGTCTTATTAATTTTGTTGTGTATAATTTTATATCGATATCTAGTTTTGACTTGAGAGTGTAAAATGACTTTGGAGGTTTCAAGAAAAATGCACTAATGCATTATGGCTTTATTTTTTCCTTACATTATCAATTCCAAAGTGTATTTGATTTGGCTTTGCTACCTCAGGTTTACCCACTATCCAGTCCTTCCTCCTAAGTAAGGAAAATGAGTTAGACTTGTTTTCATTTCAACAAAAACATAAGTATCTGTTATGAACGAGCCCATCCACATCACACAGGTCAAGCCTTTGAATGGAATTCCGGACTACTTTTATTTCCTGCATTTTGATTGTACAGATGAAACCATCTGTATGTGTCCTGCTAGTTTCTAAAGCATATTCTATTTTATGACCTGGTTAATTTGATAACACTGCCACATGAATTTGGTTTGAACCTCTTTGAACTTTAACATGCTAGGCCAAATGACTGGCAATTTATATGAAGTTTATACTGTGACAATGTGCAGAGCTCTTGCCTGTGTTAGCATTTATCACTGGTGCATTTGCAAACCCAAAAAAGTATTTTTATGCATGTGCAGCTGTAGAGGACACACGTAGCAATACATTAACTAGACTAGGTAGCATTTTCTATGCTGTGCTGACTGAATACCATGTAAATATCATTTTGTTGTTTTATTTGTATCATGTATTTTGAGCAAAAGAGGTGACTAGTGATAATAGGAATGTTTCTCGATAGATATTTAATGTTGCTTTTTATTTGTTTTTGTTTCTTATAAGTTAACTACCTAATTTTGACCACTGTATGTTTCCACCTAGATCTGCCATGATTCAGAATATGTTAAAACAAATGGAAAATGGTGTGCTACATTCTTTACCTATTGGGAGACAAAACATGTTTGAAACCAGCCTGTATGCCCCAAGACACCTTTTGGTGATTATGTTTATTTTCCTTGCTTAATATTATGTTCTTCTCTCCTTGGATTGTTCTGAGTGGATATGACCACTATGAATGAGAAGTCCAGTGTCTGGAAAAAGCTAATCTGTACAAATGTAACGGCCTAAAATAAAGATTTACAGTATTTCCTTTTTCTGCTTTCTGAAAACTTGTTCATTTATAGGCTTGTTAACAGGCTCATTGGTTGAAAGTGCTACTCCAGGAGGAGAAGGTGTCATCATATGGGTCATGACTGGTAGAACTCTTCCTACAAGACACTTGAGTTTGTTCAGACACATTCGGTACTTAGAAAGTAGAGCAACGCCATCTACACTCACCTAAAGGATTATTAGGAACACCATACTAATACTGTGTTTGACCCCCTTTCGCCTTCAGAACTGCCTTAATTCTACGTGGCATTGATTCAACAAGGTGCTGAAAGCATTCTTTAGAAATGTTGGCCCATATTGATGGATAGCATCTTGCAGTTGATGGAGATTTGTGGGATGCACATCCAGGGCACGAAGCTCCCGTTCCACCACATCCCAAAGATGCTCTGTTGGGTTGAGATCTGGTGACTGTGGGGGCCATTTTAGTACAGTGAACTCATTGTCATGTTTGAAATGATTGGAGCTTTGTGACATGGTGCATTATCCTGCTGGAAGTAGCCATCAGAGGATGGGTACATGGTGGCCATAAAGGGATGGACATGGTCAGAAACAATGCTCAGGTAGGCCGTGGCATTTAAACCATGCCCAATTGGCACTAAGGGGCCTAAAGTGTGCCAAGAAAACATCCCCCACACCATTACACCACCACCACCAGCCTGCACAGTGGTAACAAGGCATGATGGATCCATGTTCTCATTCTGTTTACGCCAAATTCTGACTCTACCATCTGAATGTCTCAACAGAAATCGAGACTCATCAGACCAGGCAACATTTTTCCAGTCTTCAACTGACCAATTTTGGTGAGCTCTTGCAAATTGTAGCCTCTGTTTCCTATTTGTAGTGGAGATGAGTGGTACCCGGTGGGGTCTTCTGCTGTTGTAGCCCATCCGCCTCAAGGTCGTGCGTGTTGTGGCTTCACAAATGCTTTGCTGCATACCTCGGTTGTAACGAGTGGTTATTTCAGTCAAAGTTGCTCTTCTATCAGCTTGAATCAGTCGGCCCATTCTCCTCTGACCTCTAGCATCAACGAGGCATTTTCGCCCACAGGACTGCCGCATACTGGATGTTTTTCCCTTTTCACACCATTCTTTGTAAACCCTAGAAATGGTTGTGTGTGAAAATCCCAGTAACTGAGCAGATTGTGAAATACTCAGACCGGCCCGTCTGGCACCAACAACCATGCCACGCTCAAAATTGCTTAAATCACCTTTCTTTCCCATTCTGACATTCAGTTTGGAGTTCAGGAGATTGTCTTGACCAGGACCACACCCCTAAATGCATTGAAGCAACTGCCATGTGATTGGTTGATTAGATAATTGCATTAATGAGAAATGGAATAGGTGTTCCTAATAATCCTTTAGGGGAGTGTACAGTCCATTCAGCGGCAAAAACCAGCTGCTCTGTGAGAAGACATAAACTGTTTCCGCCCGGTTTCGAACCGGGGACCTTTCGCGTGTGAGGCGAACGTGATAACCACTACACTACGGAAACAAGGTGATAAAATATGCAAGCTACGGAAGATGAAACATCTGAAACATGTACATAAATTTTGCGTAAATATTGTTTTTATTGCCAGAATCTCCGAATTGAGTACTGTACAGATGACAATGAGAGTTACCAGAGAACAGACTGAGAGAAACTATATTAATGGATCATTACATAATGACTGAAGTTTATAAGTATCTGTAAACACTCTCTACATGGTTAACTCTGAATCAGCCACTGAGCAGCAAACTATTGAGGGGTGCAGTAATGGTCGGTTAATCATGAGGTAGCTATCTGTGTATGCATGTAATGGCTTCCACCAGAAGGCCGCTGGCAGACCTGCTGCAGGATGTGGCTGCCCACCTTAAATGATAATGTAACACTGACAGGGGGACCGCGGAGTATTATGATTAAAAGGCTAATTTTGTCATTATAGTCAGACGATTAGCTTTGTTTCCTTACAAGCTAAAGCGATGTGAATGTTACATCATCTTTAAATAGGCCGTTTGGTTTGAACACAAGTGTCGCTTACGGCCATACCACCCTCAACACGCCCGATCTCGGACGCTAAGTAGTGTCGGGCCTGGTTAGTACTTGGATGGGCGACCAGCAGAGGGCGCTGTTGCTTCTTCCTAACTGCAGACAGCTTTGAAAAACAGAGCAGCTCCTCTCTGGACTTTTAATCATGTCATTTGCAATTATATATTATCATTTCTAATTTTGACATTATATGCAGATGATTTTCTCTCTTCCAGCCACTGATGCTGGCTGTACATCTCTGGCTGTGCTCGTACTGGCTGAGGCTGCCTGTACTTCACCTGAGTCTATGGGACCTGCCACAGACGTCTGGACTGGGTCTGTGCTAGTACTGGTTTAGGCTGGATTTGGATTAACTGTGCTTGTAAAGCATCTACTCCACTGACAAAGCAGCCCCTGTAAATTCTTGATATTTCCTATTTATTAATGTGATCAGCTACATCAGGCCCATTCAAACTGGCTCCACCAGGTTTCGTTTAATACATTTTCAAAGGGAAAATATTATACTATGACTTGACTGAATGCGTGATGCTTATTATTTACTAAGAGATGTGCATCCATAGTGCCCAGTCTGCCCAGCTGATCAACATTTTAATAGTCAATAGTCAATGTCACTGCTTTCCATCTTGCATTAGTCCAGATTTGTAAACCTTGACTGAGGGAAAGATACTGTCATGTTTGAACATGCTGAGCGCCTTTAATGGAGTGCCATCACAGCTGTGTATTGACTGGACTTATCAGCACCAAATACTGTATAGGCTGGCACAGATGTTGCTGCTAGAACGCACAAACTGAATTTTCAATGTTTACGTGCGACGCGGTTATATTTTTTACGAGCTACAGTTGTTCAGAAACACAGTCTGGCAAGCTACCAATACAAAGACAGAGCGAGAGATGCGCTGCCCAGCTGGGTTAGCGAGACAGACAGAGGAGAGATTCACTGCTGACATCAAAGTTTGAGAGGAGAGAACAGTTTACCTGACTGATTCTGTTCCTGCAGTTCACTTTCACTGAGTTTTTTGCTCTTCTCGTGCCCAAAAGCATAGCTCCCTCTTCATCCTTTCATCAAAATGTAAACACTGACACTCAATTCACCTTTGACAGGAGAGTGAGACGGGGTCCAGCATAACCCAAAGTGTTTTTCTATTTCATTCATTAATAAGCACATTAATGAATGAATGAATGAAACATCTTCAGTTCCATGCCAACTGAGCAATGAAGACTGTCTAAAGCTACAGAACAAGCAAATAAGTGGATTTTGTTTTTTTGACTGTTTTGTCAATTGTTGTTTCCGAGGTCAAGAATGGTTATTGTTCACCTTTAATATGTGAGCTGAGCTCCAACTGCCTTGTTGGCCCAGTGGGCACACATTTCAAAAAAATCAAGGTACTCCTCAGTGACATCTCTGACAATTCATCTGAATCAATCATTATTTACATTTTCAGGCCTCGTTGGCGCAGTAGGCAGCGCGTCAGTCTCATAATCTGAAGGTCGTGAGTTCAAGCCTCACACGGGGCAGGTGTTTTAAACTCAGATGACAACACAACAGGATAGATACCAGTATATTTGCATAAAAATACTCATCATTCTTTCGGAAGCATACAGCTGACACGTAAAGAAGTTTCAAGGTTCAAATAATTCCATCAAGAACATACAGCTTCCAAAGTAAGAAGTCCAGCCTTGCTCCTGCTCATCTGTTTAACCAGCATAAGTCTCTATGTGCACACATTCACCACTGACAAAACTGAATACCACATGAACATCTGACACCATGCACACACATTCAACACTGATTACCATTTGCACTTTAATAATGTTTCTTTGTAGTGATCTATCTGAGTAATTGGGCTGATATCTGACATGTTAGTGGCTAAGATAACCATGTTTATTAGATTGTACTCTGTTTGGAATAATGGAATTATACATGACTTTTCTATGTATTGAATTATATATATTCTATATATCGGCCATCAGCCATATATTCTATATATCGGCCATCAGCCACCCTGCTCTCTGAATATTGGCATTAGCATCAGCAAGTGAAAAGAATTAAGAAGCATTGTGCATTTGCTGAAATTTTCACAATTTCCTCATAGTGGTAGATGAGACATAATCTGTGAAGAAAAATCTGTCTGCTCCTAATGCTATTTGCAAGAATCTACTGCTCCAGGAGCAGTCTGTAATGCAGTGTCAATCACTGGTCATGCACACCTTGCACGGCCCCCCTCCTCGCGCATGCTCTCACTCAGTCAAGCTCAATATATTCAGCTCTGTCTGAGAAATGTCTGAGAAACAACCAGCAGCAATGAAAGAACTGCCCATCCCTCCTTTGCCAAAAATAGCATATTGTACAGAACTCTTGTGTGAACATGTCCCAGCTCCATATGAAGCTTTGTGCTCTTTATGTTCGATGCCATGGAAAAGTGGAAAAGAGGCATGATGACAAACAGTGGGGAATAACTTTTGAGGGAGGACAGTGGTGTACTAGCCTCTCATCCTGCTGTTAGACGTTGCTGCAGCAGCAGCTGAAGCCTGCGGTGCTCTGCCCTGGGCCGCAAAGTGTTGGAGGGGCATCTTTCAGAAGACAAGTTGATGTGAGAGCGGCCGGGGTCTTAGCGAGACTCTTGCGGTGGAGAGCAAGCCCTATGCAGGATGAAGGGCAACCGGCTCCTGCTTGTGGATTTTGTGGGCGGGCTTAGCGGAGTGATGCGAGCAGCAGAGAAAGACTTTGTATGTTCAATCGTTGCCAACTGCAGCTTTAAACATGTTGTTACTTGATTTTCTGTTGTATTTACCATCAGGTTCTATTCTATGGTGTCCACAGTGCTATACATGATCATTTCCCCAGTTTGATTTGAATAAAGTGAAATGAAAAGTGAAAATTAGATGTTTTCTGTGGAGGACTTTGGTTTCTGACTTTGGTTTTGTGTTCATGTTTTTCCTGTTTAGTCTGTCATAGTTT